TGTGTGTAGCTGAAAGTGGGACTGCTGTTAAAATTCCAGCAGGAACTCCTTTGTCAGTATAAGCAGCGTCAATGTTGAGAGCGCTTTCGATCTAGACGAGGCCTAATTTAGTATCACTGAAGTAAACGTGTTCTTCCTATGCTGAGTTTGCTTAAAGTCACCACATGCATCTCCTCTTACAGCCTGACAAGCAAATACAGGAATACACAATCAAACATTGTGTGGTTTGTCCTTTCTGTTTGCTGGGTGACCCAGCGTGGGCTTCAGGACATCACTGAAGTACTGCTTTGTGCCAATACTTGTGAGAATTGTCAGAAATAGGAAGTAATGTGCTTTAATAGCCTTTTTTCTATAAAAACTAGCCTAATAACACCTGCTGGTTAGTGTAGTCTCACTAATATAAATAAATTCTGGGTAGTTAGGGGTCTGAGTATTTAAGGGGTAAAATAGAATCCTCTGCTAATTGCAAAAAGTGGATCAAAAAAGTGAAAATATAGGCCATTGCAATGAAAATAGCAAGTCATTGACACTTAAGGAAAAGAATGCAGTCAATGTTTTAATCAAAAAGTAGATAAATATTTAAGTTATATCCACACAAACCAAATATATTCAGTTCTACTGTGTCTGCTGAAATCCCAACTACACTATTTAAGGAACAAACTGAAGGATTTTTGAGTTTCCTTGTATAGGCCCTTATAAACTCATGAAGGAGACCCTACAGGACTAGGTGGTGCTTTGTCCTTAAGGCCAGAGGAAGAGAGACCTGGGGAATTAAAGGCCAGCCAGTTTAATAATTAGGAAGAGACCAGAATAAATCAATTAAAAGTCTCAGATATTCACAGATTTTTTTTTTAAAATTAGAGATCAAACCAATTTCCTCTTCTCTTGTCACCCATGTAGCCTGCATCTTTATTTCTAGGAGAATTTTTTTTTTAATGCTATGACTTAGCAGCTGTGCTATCAGACTAAGAAAAGTCAGTGCCAGTCCAATAAAATCAAGTCTGTTACAGAGTTGTGCTACATTACAGATGAATATGTAACATAACCACAGCATCCCTAAAAACCAGTTGATCTCAGTGCCTACTCTGCAGCAAGCTGTGTATTTGCTGTTGAGGTAAAGGCTTCTTAAAACAAGAAAGCCCATAACATACCAGCAAGCCAGGGAGACTAATGCACGAGCAGTTCAGGGTAGTGATCTATGTCCCAAACTAAGCAAAGGGTCACCCTAGCAGGTCTCACATTCTGTCACCCACACTGAAGCAAAGCATGTTGTCACTCTGCAATGCCTGGCATTTACTAGTTGCCTTTTAAATGCTGATATACAGAACCAGGACAGGAACACGAGGTGCTTCCTGTGCATTTGAAAAAGCAGTGCATGAGCCCATGGGAAGCTGGAAACATGAAGTCAGTAGCTCTAGAAGGACCTTAGGTCATTGCTAAGTATAATCCCTTACAGCATTAATAGTTACATGGTGAAATCCTGCCTTTGCTCCAGTTAACAGCAAACTCCTTTGAAGTCAACAGATCCCACAGTAGTGCTAATAGTTTCTGTCTTAGCTTGAAACTAAAGTTGCACAAGAGAGAAGCCCTGAGCCAACTGAATGTCCAGTTTGGGTTGGTTTTGTTATATTGAAAAGTATGATTGTAGGCAGAGAGCAGAAACTACTTCTCTAACTGCTCCCATGACAGAGCAGAGCAGATAGTTCCATTCTCTAGTACCTAACTGGCAAGTGCTGGTTGGTTACACTGTGCACCTGCACCTGGGACTCCCAGCTCCTGTTTCATTTACATCAATGCAAATCCCATATGTAATATATTAAGAATTATGCCTTTGAGTATTTAACTTCTGTTTCCTCAGGGGTCACAAAGGAGCAAAGTTTTGTGGTAAGAGACTATTTTACATTTCCAGAAAGTAGAAAGCATTCTCACTAAAATAGCTTTAATGCCTATAATGACTATCCTATAGCAATTTTTTAAGCAGCCTTTGTATAGTGACATCACATTTAGTTACAGATCAGGAGCACAGAGGGTTCCACTACAGCAGGATGGCATTACATCACAAGTGACACCAGGGCAGGGGAGGGAAGTGTTGACTGACAACCAGAAATGCGTTGCTAGGTTTATCCTCAGTATAGACACTCACATCTCAACAATTTATCTTTCCTGCTGCCAACACAAATAACAAACTTGGAAGCCATTATTTCATCACCCACATAAACGAATAGCAAAGTAATCCTCCTACATTTTCCATTCATCAGATAAATCAGTAAACCACTTTAAAAACATCCCAAGAATAATGTAATTATTTATTTCTACCAGTGAAGAATTACCAGAGAGTTACACACAATGACTCTTTATACTTCCCTCAGAAAAGGAGAGGATTCACCTTTCTGTCACAAGCCTATGTTATCCTTTGCAAGAGGGTCCTGTATTCATGTGTGTCCACTTTAGGTGCAGAGCTCTAGCTCCAAGTGACTGGAACTATTTAAATAGCAAGACTTTTTGGCTGTCTTACATTAAAATAAAATGGAGTAATTTTATTTCAAGACTTAAGAACCAAAGATATAGACTACTATATTAAAATAATCAAACCTTCAGTCACTTGCATTGAGATTTTTTTTCTCAACACTGGGCTAAGCATACAACTGGAACCAGCACTGCAGATGGGGAACACTGAAGAGATTGAACATGTCATTCTAAGTGGGTCATCGCACTGCTTCTGTCGCTGTGATTCGCTAGATAAACCCCAAGCATGCAATGACCCAACTCATGCTTCCCCAGCTTGATGCTTCAAACTGTAATGTGAAACATGTACAAATACCAGCTGGTTTAATACCCACCAGAGGCTTTCCTTACACTACCACAAATTCATCTGTTATAGATAGGGATTTTTTTCACACGTAACTAGAAGTATTTGAACAGGTGAGAATTAACCTCTCCCTCCTTACACCATAAAAGAAGACAAATTAATGTGCCCAGTATGTCTGGGGTAGTAAAGAGCAATACTTATGCCATGGAAGATTTCAAGAAACTATTTATAGATTCACTTAATCTGCTCCTGCAGCCAATTCTAAGGTACAAGACACAAAGCAGCACTACACACCATCTGAAGCAGAAAGTATGAAAGCCATATGCCATCAGAAACACAGGAAATCATCTAGGACACTCAGAAAAACTTGCTTCTAGCCACCAATCCATAGTTATGTTCTCAAGCAAGCATACTGCTGCAGAGGGGTGCATAATTTTTGTACCTACCATTTAAGTCAAAAGGAGTTTTAAAGAAGAGTGGTCAGAGAAAGAAATTGAGCCAAACTTATGTCAGCATCAGATAATAATTTCTGATCGTCACAGCTTTAACTACAAAACTGTTGGTATTTAAACTGTTACAGAAAACTGACTTTTCAGTTGCACACATCACTGATAAATTCCATGCACAGCATCCTGAAATTACTGCTAACTATCCAAAAAAAAAGAAAAGAAAAAAAACACCCAAACACCAAAACCAGAGAGGTGGGGGGGTTACTAGAGGAAAAAGAGGGGAGATGTTTCAGATGTCAGAGGCAGACAAGACCAGGGAGAGCTGTTTCAGACCCTAGAAAAAGGATACCTGGCCTATTTTGTGGAGTCAGTCTTGCCAACCTTCTTCCTCTGCCACACACATCCTGTGCTTCCACAAATGATAACTCCCTGGGAAAGCCTTAGAAAGGCAACTATTACAGTCAGACCAGACTAGGAAAGGGGAAGATACAAATATCTATGGCAAGCCTGACAGAAGTCAAGTAATTTCTGAAATCCTCCAAGCTCTATGGGCCTCCTAATGCCCTCCCTGAAGGGCGACCTATCCTACTTTCCCTCCTGTTCTACCACCTTCTCTCCCTGTCAGCCCCAGAGGCAAAAGGACTACTGAAGGAAAGGCAGCCAGCCATGGAAGTAGGAAACATTTTAATACTGAAAAATAGTCTACCAAAACACCTCAGCATCTTGACATTATTACTGAAAATCCAGAACTTCCAAAGATGGAAGAGGTCTCCTGCGTCAGGCCATAATACCTATGCTGGCTAACAGCTCCCACACCACACAGACTTGAGTTGGTTAGAAGATTCTTCTGACTTTAAAATTTTTAAAAATCCTGACATTCCCTCACTTGAGGAGACTTTAGCAAGTTACTTTCAAGCTTTGGGAAGTGCAAAACCAGAAATTACTAAAATGCAATGGACAAGCAAGAAAGGAAAAAAAAAAACAGCCTTCAGGGAGACTTATTTTGCATTTCTGAATGGCTTTTAGTTTTCAGCTTTTTTGGTGTTTGGTTTGTTGGGCATTTTTTGGCTGGAGGGAGTTGGTAGTAAGGATTGTAAGCAAGACAGTTTCCAGGTCTTTATTTCCAGAGAGATTTTGTTAGGAGAATTTACTTACATTTCAAAGCATTACCTGTAAATACCATGATTTACCTGTCTTCGCCTTCTAGAGTGAGGATTACCCTTTGAAAAGCCATGGAGGAATTACACTCAGATTCTGGCCTGGATTTCTACCATACCAGCAAACGTCAGGAGCAAAAATTCTCAGCTATTGTATGAATTATATTAACTCCCTACATACTGGATTATAGCAATAGGGGATACAGGAATACCAGTTTTAAGACTGGATATGCATATCTGACAGTTGTCACATCTACCATTTCAGATCCACTAATTACATGTTGATAAAATGTGAAGTTTGCCCTAGTTAAGCTTCTGCTGGTTTTGTCCCTGCTGCAGTTTATCCTTTCTCATGATACAGCCACTTTTTGTAAATGTTTTCTTAATCTTGTACACTTACCCCTACATTCACTGAACAAAAGCAAGCAAAAACTCTAATCAGGGCAAAGTGTGGAACACATAATTATTTGCTTCCATTTGGTATTTTCTTTTGCTGTTAAGAAACTAATTCACAGACTTGGACAAGCCACCAGTGTCCTTTTAACAAGCAGAAAGAAATCAAAATTTTAATGTGGAAATACTTACAGTATAAGCTACATTTAAGCCTTACGCCTGAGTAACTACAGTGTTTGTCAGGACCAAGGACCCAGCTTTGTGGCTGTCCACATTCTGAAGCTGCTAATCTCTGGCTCAGGGCCCACCTTATACTTAAAACAGAATACAATATTTGTCTTTCAGCTGTTGCTGTTTGTCATTTCTCAATAAACATGGCTAACTCTTCCATAGCAACTGCTGTTAAAATGCTAAACCCCAGCCACAAGGTGAAAGAAAAATAGATGTTGAACACAGTACTTTATGGAATGTAAGACAACAATTGTATATTTAAAAAAATTCTGATACCCGTTTCTAAAAGAAAAGCACTCAGAAGGCTTGGCACTTGAACTACAAGGTGACTGTGGCCTTACATGTGATCTCACATGTGATCTCATCATTTGTTTGTGTATGAAGTCTCATCTCTTGGGAACCACAAAATAGGTCAAGGTATTGATCTAAAAGTTTGACACATGCTCTGAAACACTTGACTGCTCTGTGTTTAGAAAAAAGAATCCATGTATTCTTTCAGGCTTAAGGCAGAATGACCTTTTTTTTGTTTTCCCTTTTTTTGTTTTCTAAGCTTCCCAGGTAGAGGTCTTGAGTCAGTAAACTGATATGGAAAAATTGTAAGTACTTATTATTAAAGATATCTTTCTCTCATGCACACAAATGCACACAAGCTCACAAACAGTTTTTGATGGAAAATCCTGTTAACTACAGTGATACAGGATGAACCGCCATGGACCATAGCCCAAATCCTTACAGTCTTCTGATGCCTACATACCTCCAAAAACCTGTAGCAAGCCCAAGGGAAACACCAGACATTCTCAATGGCATTCACACTGTTGGAGTACAGTTGCATATAAGCACTTTGCTCTGCTCTCTTATATCCAAGGAGCCCTATCAAAGAGTTCTATTTTACAGCCCAGGATAAAGACATGGACTAAAAAGAACTGCTCAGAATGAAAACTGGGCAAAACTTCAGAAGAAGCCCCAGACATGATGAGCAGCTTTGCCTCCCACCTTTCTTCCCCCTTCCATAAGGGTACTTTGTTGATAGTTATGGCATTCCCATACTTCTTTATCTGTTATTTACAATGTAAGGCATTCTCAATAAGTCAGAAGATAATAATTTAAAAATAAAGAGAGGAAAAAAAGTTTTAAAGTCTTAGAGCAGGAATAAAGTGCAAATCACAACCGTACAGGCATATGCATTTTCTTTTTAACCAAGAAATCACTATTATTTTCTTGACACTTCAATTCAGATCTTTTTCCAGATAAACTTTAATTAACAAAAATAAACTAGAAGAAGGGAGAAAACATACATACAAGTATTTCCATGGGGAGGGACATAGATACACTACAGATAGGATCTTGAGCTGACAGTTCTACCACTCCAAGAACAAGCTTCCTCTTGTCACCCAATAGTTATTAAATAAAATGCTAATCTACTCAAAAAGCACTGCTACTACCTCCTGCCTGATGAGTTGCTCTAGTCACACAAGTTATACTATGGATCTGTTCTTAAAATCTTGAGGTTTTCAAAATTCTCTGAAATTTTTGTCACATCAAGTGCTACTGGATAGAATCAGCTCCTTCTCCAGTAGCAGCATAGGTAATTTATTTGCCTGTAACCTTTTATCTTGGTTAGTTGAAGAGTAGAAAAAGGTTAATTATAACTAATTTAGAAGGGACATACCACAGCATTTTGGGTCAGCTTTAGTCTCTGAATAGTGTGGATGCAGTAATTCACATCCCACAAATGATGCTTGAATAGAAATTACAAAATACATGTCTGAAAAGAAAGAATGCAATGTCTAAACAAGATGTACACAGCAGAAGGTGAGTGGGTCATACCTGAAACACAGTCAGCCAACAGCTTCTAAGTATCTGAAATTACTGCTATTTTCTGAATTACAACATAACATACCCCTTCGAAAGAGCTGATGTTATCTCCATCACTTCCACTGCCCATTTCCCTGATCCTCATCACCTTACTTCCTCCAGAAAGACTGTCAGTAGCCTCTTCTCTTCTGTTCATTGCTAATACTTGACTTGGATCATGCAATCCAGCACAAAAAAAGATGTATGGTTAGCTACCACTGGTATACTAAAAGCTTTCATACATGTATTTTGGCCTACACGGACAAAAGCACACCTCCCATTTTCAGCTCACACATCCAGGAAAAGCATAACAATAGTTAATGCTCTACAGTCTCTGCCCTCCCAAGATGCCTGGGGTGGAGAAACAACCCCAGCTGGTGCAAAGCATCTCAGACAAACTACTAAAACCACCAAAAAGCATTCCCGTCTGCTTCTAACAGGGCCGAAAAGCAAGGTAGCAACATCTGCTTGTCAGTGGTATATGGGGCAATAAGCTGTCAGAACACACATTCATGCCTGTTCATAGCCACTACCAGAGAAAAGCTCATTTCATAGAATTATCACCAGCCATTGAAAATAATCTAGTGGTAAATGGCTGCCTTTTACCTCTAAGATTTAGAAAGAACAAGTGTCTTGATCCCACTTGATCTCTTCACTATTCCTTTAGTAAATATGATAAGTTTTTCTCCTGAAAAGACAAGGTTAAAGTTTCCATGTAGCATTAAAGATTAAATAGTTAAGTGCATAAAATCACAGATGAAATCAAGAAATAGGACTAATTACTGTAGAAATACAAAATAAGACTTTGCTGGGTATCTGAAGAAGTATATTTTCATTCTTGTAGGTACATGTCATTACATATCTAATATTTCGACTCTTTTCCTGAATGTTGCTCTATAATATGCATCATGAAAGAGATTTTAGAAATCTAACAACTTCTGTGCATTATTTGTTCAGGTAATTTGTTCAGGTAATTTGTTCGGGCAAGCACATCAGAGAGCTTATATTGTTAAAAAAAATATGTAAGTGCCAGCATATTAATTTATGAAGCATACTGGACTTAGCTGCTGGCACAGAGCCTTGCTAACTTCATTCCAACTTTACTCCTTTGGAATGAGCTTACTTCATTTCCAGTGCCAAAATGGGCTTTAACTTTAAATTCAAAAAGGCATCAGCTTGCCAAATTTGGAGGTGATGTTTGACTGTAGCTATTAAAAGGAGCAGGACCACTGATGAGTGAATGAGCTGAAAAGAAAAACAACTCCTTCCTCAGTCACCTTTAAGATTCTCCATCAGAACTTCTACAGGCTGCCAGAACAGAAGGGAAAAACCTTTTTTCATGCACAGCAGGAAAACATATCCTTTCAGAAAACATTCAACTCTCATAAAATTAATTGTGAAATTAGATAAGTGCATCAATAAAGCACAAAATTTGAGAAGTGCTTTACACCTTTTTTGCCATAATTAAAATATGAGCTGACACTACATCAGGGTCACAAGCAACCAAATGAAGGACAACAAATTTCGTCCCTATTCACAATAATATCTAATCACCTGTAAAACTGGCAAAGTAGAAATTGTATGACAGAAGCAACACTTCAGGAAACCAGTGCAGTTATCAGAATCTTAGTAACATAGACTGAAAGTCAATACATGTATATGTCAGTTTGCACAGAGTTGCAAATACAGATTATAGACATGAGTTTTCAAAATTAAGGTGAACAGTACTTCAGTGCCTTAATATGAGATCAGCATCTCATTCCATTCAACATATTCTTTAGATTTTTTTTTTAACACTATTCATTATTTTATGTATGTCCTCCACTGCTCCTTTAGGTTTTTTGAAAATTAAAAGGAAAACAAGAAAAAAAAATCACACACGTAATGCACAAATTACAGAGAAGATGAAAGCAGAAATGAAAACCAAGCACATCTGTAATTAAACAAGTTTTGAAATTTGCTTAGAAGTTTATGAAACAGTTCTGAAATGGCACATTTCAGAAATATTTACTTTCCACTTACTGGTTTGTTAGTTTAGAACAGATCCTTAAAGTAGGCTTTAAAGGGCTCTAAGGCACCTACTTCCCATTTGTCAAGTAGGAAGCTTCTTGAAAAAAAGTGATAGTCAAGTCTTCAGTTTCTACAGTATTCTCAGAACAAATGAACCTTTGACAGATAAAAAATTGGGGGGGGGACAAAAACAAACAAACGAACCAACCCCCCCCAAAAGAAAAACCAAACAAACAGGACATTACTGGCTTCTTGACCTGCATACAGAAAAGTTTAAGAAAATGCCTATCAGTTCAGTTTGCTACTCAGAACCTAAATAGCAGAGAAAAGTACCAGAGCGATGTGAAAATGATAACCAAATGTTATCAATGAGAGGGCAGTTGACCTAAATTACTGCTTCAAAGCTGAGGCAGGTGGGAAGGAGTTGTAAGAATGTCCTTCTCCACCTCACATGTATTTACAGCCTGGAAATTTCTAATGCCTGAGAGAGGAATCCAGTACCAGAGTCCCACTTCTCCTTTCTTTGCCAGATGCAAGGGAAGAATAACAGAGCTGCTTGTCATACCACTTACAAGGAAAAGGAGAGAGGATTTCTCCTTTGCCAGGAAAAACTAAGGGTACTGCTAATTTATCAGGCATCCAACCAAAAGCTCACTGAATGAAAAGTTCACTGGGATCCAAATTATTAACCATTCCTGCTCCCTAACAATGCGATTAGGAAAAACTACAGTCTGTACATAAACAGTCTTATTGCTTTGGGAAACTGTTTTAAAATAAGTAGTGTTTATTATAAGAAAACTTCCCATATACCCATGAGTTTTGAAATAGAAAACAGGCTGTGCAGTTTGGAACGCTCTGACCTTTCACCTCTGGAAATCCAGTTTCAGTACATGTTGTTCCACATGTGCAAGTGATTTTCAGGCTCCATTTAGTATCCTAGGCTGTTACTGTCTAACCTTCCCAAACAGTGGCCTAGACCAATATTTTATTATGTTATAGATTTTTAGTCCAATAGTTTATTATGTTATAGACTAAGTTCTGAAATAAGACAGGAGGTTTATGGCTTAAAATACAGACATTGAAGAGGGTTTGCTTGTTTGATTCTTTGTTTCTTCCTGTGCCAGGGTTTATTCTAATTCTGCAGCCTGAAACAGAGCACTCCCTAAGTTTATACAAGGATGAATTGGTTTAAAACATTTGCTCCTTACAACATTTTTTTTCAACTCTTGGTCTGCCAAATTGTCAGGAAAACAACATTTCCTTCCACCAAGGCAGGGCAATACTGGGAGAGAAAATAGGAAACTGACAACCAAAAATAATCTGATGTGAGTTAGGAAGAATGCCTTTTGCTAGCCACATGGAAAACAATGTCATGCCATGGGCACAGGAGTTAGATTGTCCAAAGATAATGAGGGGGCATCATATACAATGATGGATTTGTGCACTGTGCTACTATTCCAATGCCTAATTTGTGACCGCAGCTCCCAAATCTCAAAAAGTTAAATGATATGAAGAAATCTGACACAGCTTCCCTCCCTGCCCCCAGTTTTCAGGGGAGGAGGGAGGATGGAAAACAGTGGTTGTACTCTTTCACATTGCATTGGATAGAAAGATAATATTTGGCACAAAAGTAAAAAAAAAATCAACCTAAAGAGCAAAAGTCTACTTCAAACGTTTGGATAGTCATACTACAAACCAAAAGACTCCATTATGATTCTGAGGAAGCTACTTTATACATACATTCATAGCATGGCAGTTAAATTCAGAGCATGTATATCTGCAGGTAAAAAAGGTTTAACACCAATGATCCTATAGTACAACAAAATAAATACTTGTTTTCCTATATGGAAGCTTCAATGGCACACACAAAAAAAAAAAAAGGAAAAGAAAAATGTCACACTGCTACATATTTACAAAAAATCTATTTTCATACCTACAACTATTATGAAAGAAGATATGATGCCCTAAAACCAGGCAGAAGAAAAGAAAATAGCTCTTCTTTTACTGAAAGGAATATGCTTTTAAGTGGACAAAAGACTCTGGCTTCAATCCAGCTCAGCTGATCATTTTGGTACAATATGAAAGAACAGAAGTGCTTTAGGTAGGTAAACCAAAAAAATGTACACATACTGTGTTAATGGGTAAAGGGACTTTCTTAAAGGCAGTCACTGAAAAGAAACTAGGAAACAGCCCTGTGTCAGAAGCATCAATTCAGTATTGCCTTTCAAATCTTTTATTTTTCTTCCCCTCTGTAATTCTAAAAAGAAGAAAAAAAAAAGGTGAATCTGTGAAACACCAATAAAACAGGATCTAACAATTGCTCTCCAGAGCAACAGCACCTTGGAGAGCAAGTCACCCTTCCATTAAACCAGGCAGGGGGAAAAAAAAAAGAAATTGAGCAAGATCTCAGTTTCATATATGCATACGATTTCCACTGAAATTAAGAGCAATCACTTAGGAGGATAGGTTAAACCTATCCTTCTCTTACACATATCTAACTAGGTTAATAGGGACATATAAGCAAATCTCAGTATAGTAAAGAAACATGAACAAACTTTACAAACACTTAAGCAACCTCAAACTTGGGTTTCTTAAAATAAAAATAAGAAAACCCCCAAACCCAAAAAATAAGTCTACATATTAAGAAATAAATCAATAACTTAATAATGGGAACTTGAAAGGAATCTCTACAGTGAACAAGTTATTATACAATTATAACTTTTTGACACTGGAACTCAGAGCCTGATTATGATCTGAGTTTGACCTGATGCTGAAATGCTTATACTTCCAATCATTTTCTACTGAAGTGCATTGCAGGATTGACTATTTGAAATTGTCAATACTCTAAGAAAGAGAAAATGCAAATTACACACAAAAGAACTCTTTAAATGAAAACATCTAATATGTTCTTCATTCCCAGCTACAAATCAAAACACATTACAGGATTCACTAGCAAAGGAGGAATAGAAAAATGAGTAGCAATCATGAGAGGGATTTTCACTTGAAACAGATATCAGGGAGGAGGAAAAAAGTTAAGAAACTGAAGTACTACTTGGTAATAAATTCTGACCTTGAACACACACAATGTAATCCATCAGGATAAACCACATAGTGTCAATATATTGAAGGCATATACTGAACCAATCTCAAAACATGTTAGGACATAACAGAGTTTATACAGTACTCACAAGGAATTAGTGGATTTTTTCCTGAACTTCAAAATATACAAAAATATTTGAGCTACCGAGACTGAGATACCACTGACCTAAACACCTGCCTTCTTTCTTTAAATGTGCCTATCTTCCTTCACATTCCTAATGCAGGCTGTACCCCCACAAGCTGACGACTGTCACACTGCAAATTTTTTTGACACAGATATCCTTTCTGATAGTTTACTTTGGAACAGTCACTACCATTGGTTTTGTTCTGATCCGGAAATGAAATAATACACTCTGAAAATAGAGAAGGTCTTTGAAATATTCTAGACAAGAACACAATTACAAAAACCCATGATGAACACTACTATCTACTAGCAAGCCACAAGTAAAGGACAACTACCTTAAAAAGCTAACATTTCTCCAAACCGAAAAAGACATCATCACCTAATACTGCATTTCTCTTCCTCAGTATGAGAAATATGTATGACATCAGTCCAGATTTTTCAAGGCATTAGGAGTGGTGCATGCCATGGTCTCAAGTGACTATCTAAAAAAATGCAGCTGGAGGGCTGGAAGGACTTTTTAGTGCAACAAACTATTACATTACAAAGAAGATGTAAAACAAGACTTTGAAAGGGAAATTTCCTTATCAGAATTTCTGTTTACATGAAACAGAGTCACATACAAAGTCAAAGCACTGCATTGCATGGCTGAATCGAGCACCAGCAACGTAATCAGTATGATATCAAATGAGCAACAGAGTGGCTTTAAGAAACCAGAAAGACTCTGCATCCTGAAGCTTACTGATTGTCTGGCTGAGGGGGACGCTGAAACAGCAGATAAAGCTGATGTATTTGTTGTAAACTTTCCAGCACTCAAACTTTATTTGTCTGAGTGCTATACTCCCCTCTGTGGGTGGAGAAGCAGAGGGACTGGCTGACGTCATCCGAAGGGATAAAGTGCAGTGCCCACAGCTTTGGAATGAGTAAAACTTCTTAAGAGGTATAAAAGGTCGGCTGCCCTGTACAGCAGGTGCTCTGCTGACAGCAACTTTCCTCCTACAGCTTGGCTCCTCACACAGAGCTAAGGAAAAAAGAAGAGTAACCAAGAAAAAACTGTCCACAATGCCACAAAACGTTATTCTCCAAGGACCGTCACCCTGGGGATTCAGGCTCTCAGGAGGAATAGATTTTAACCAACCCTTAATCATAACCAGGGTATGTACTCTTTCCATTTCCTTTCTATTTTTTCGATTTAAAAGTTGCTGTAGATTTTTGCCCTTTCTGGAGTTCAGACAAAACTGTGAGTAGATTAACGAGTGGCTGCTAATTCTGAAGAGAGCCAGCTGAAATGCTAACAGTTTTTACAAGTTTTGTGTGACAGGCTTCTGTAATTGGCCTAAGATACTCTAACTGCGCTTCTACTTATGCCTCAAAAATTAAATTCAAGTGCCTCGGCAGCAGAAAAAGGTTGGCATGATTTCCCAGGCATTCAAAGTTGTGTAAAGGCAAGACCTCACTTTTATCCTTTTCACGACTAGCCTTTCAGATCACTGGAGGTGTAGACTGCTTGGCAGCAGCTCCTCATGTCTGGAAGTTTGTGCTTTGCAAATTAATTGGACTCTTATCTAATTAAATCAAGTTCTGATTATTGCCAGCAAAGGCAACAGCACTTCTTTTTACATATGTGAAGTTTTTCACTTCCATAAACATTAAATCAGTGAATTATGAGAAAGTTGTCCACTCCTGAATATGAAAGAGGTAGTTATTTGGGGGTTTTTCTCATATTTAGAAAATGAAAGTTTACCTACCTCCTTCACTCCCCCCCAATTAAGAGCAAGAATCTGAGCCTTCATTTTTTTCATGGATTTCAATATATTAACTAATATCTCAAATTTAAGAAACCAGTTAGTCAATGAATGTAGCATACAACAACACTGTCAACTGCTCTGCATCTACAGACATGGATCTACTCAAAAGAGAGGATACATATTTTGATAATTTTGAAAATTGTGTTCAGTGCACATCAGACCAGAATTAGTTCTCTCTATATTTTTACTGCTTTTCAGGATCTTACACACACCAAGTATGTGTTCCACGAGCATCCAAATTGCTATTTTTTTTTTTTTAAACAAATCCCTGCACTATGACTCACTATATACACTATGCCTGGTATTGAGCAAGTGTCAAGAACCTTGAAGATGGATGGATACTACTGGTGATGCCTTGCAGTAAAAATGCTTCCAAACAATAGTCTGTAGAAAGTTTAAGGATCAACTTCTCACATATTAACTAGTAAAAATTTATAAATCTGGAATAAACTATTAAATTAAGTTAAAGCATAAAACATTTTATGTATTTTAAACAGAAGTAAATCAGAATGCTATTATATTTGACTGAATGTAGTTACATGAAAAATACTCATAGGACATAGAGAAGCCTTTGGAGAAAAATGAGATAAAAACATTAATTAATAAAAAAAAATCTCTGAATGTTTTGAGACCTTCATTGCCTTTTATGGGCCTCTACAAGAAAAATAGTTTCCATTATCTCCAATGAAAAACATTTTAGCTGTGTCTGGTTTGTATTTTCTTTGTGTTTAGATTAAGTACAATGAAGTTTAAAACTGCAATAACGAAGGATGTTACTATAAATGTCACTTTCTAAGGAATAAATTACTTTGCAGTTGACTCATACCTACCAAATGCCTTACAAGACAAAAGCCATTGGTTTCTGGCATACTACAGCAATGTTCAAAATCACATTTCAAGTAGAACAATGAAATTGTGTATAGGAAAAAACCTACATGGTTAAGTTTGCCTAGCTCAAATTCAAGTATATTAATGGTAGAATTGTTTAAAGTTAATATTTTTGTTGCCACAGCATACATTTAAAAGAGTGCCTAAATAAGCATTCATACAATACTCCTTTAGAAATAGAGAACCTTTCATAAAATTCATAAGTCTTGCTTCTTGGGGCATAAGTGTTCTTTTTGTAAAAGGTATCACCAGCAACCTGTTCACATTTGGCTTAACTGTCCTGACAAGAAAAAAATTTAAAATATTTGCCATAAAACAATAAATAGAAATTATTTTCAAATACATTTTGAATAAAATAAAAGGTGTTATGTTTGGTTGGCTATAGTCCTTGTTCAACAAGGAAATCTCTTAGCAGGACTTGTTGAGAGAGACAGACAACATAAGAGACTATCCACCTGTCTAAAGAACAGATGTCACCTCAATAGCTCATCTGCAAATTGTTCTGCTGTTTTGACTGTTTCAAGCAAATGCAAAAACCACAGACCATGATCACTGGGAGAGAGAAAGAACAAGAGGGGACTATAATAGACATATTTAAATTCTATTATGGTCAGAAACAACAAATGAACTATGAATAGTAGAAACATTTATTGAAATACTTGGAACTTTGCACAGATGCAAAGAAATTGCATTATTGAAACTGATCAAAACCTTAGCTTAATCAAACTGAATAATTTTGGTTTATTCTAACCAGAATAATGTAACATTTTGGGTTAAGCATTTAGAGGAATGCCAGAATTTAAGTTCTATTGAATAAAGCACTGCAAGAACAACTGAGACTTTTTAAGTTTGGAGGGAATGGTGAAATATTATCAACTCTAGATTTAAGTTCTATTTTAATATAGACCTTTATCAATCACAATGCTACTATTCATATTAACTCAATTTTATATCTATTCACTCTGCAGACATTCATAGCTCTCTTCAGAAAACACAAAGCCTGAAAATTTATGATGGTGTAACATGACAAGCTTTGCAAGTCTATTAGGAGATGCAGAGAGGTTGCCTTCAGTTTCGTAGGAGACATTGACCCATATGTGGTTAAATAGTCTGTGACAACATCTGAATGACCAACATATATCCTTATATATATCCAAATCCAAGCTACCTAAGAAACAGGAGTACCAAGCATGCCATACAGACATGTCCTGAAGAGCAAGACAAAAATTTTCCCAAAGCAACAGTAGAATCTACCTCACCTGCCCAGGTGAGCAAGCAACAAACACTAGTCATAACACAATTCTAAGTGTTCACAATACACACTTAATATGTAAATAATAAGCCCTTAAGAAACAGCAACACTTACATTATTGAGGTACCCGCAATATGAATATTATACCCGTGATATGGTGGAATCTTGCAATGAATAACACTGCCTCTTTCTATAAAATGTAGGCCACTGTACTTTTGTCAGTCCCGCTTCCCTATAAGCAACAGTCAAGATTTCCCCTCCTCAACATATTGAGTGACACCCAGCCATATTCCTCCTGCTCCATTCTAGCAGCAGAAAGCTGGCTCTTTCTGTCAAACCCAGGAATATCAGATGAGGGAAAAGATTATATGAGGGCAGGTAGCTCTGCACCCAAGCAGGCTTGGGCACATAATGCTCAGCACCCCCATCAAGGTGTTAAGGCCCAAGAGACACAATTTAGCCAAATAATAGGAAATACAGACTCCTGGCCCTTTTCCTCCTTGCTCCCACCAACTGGTAACCCCATCCAAACATATAAATGGTATCATTGCAGCTGGTGACAACTTATAAAATCCAGGGGATTTACCATCACCACAGAGTAGGTTAGGTCCTACTAGCAGCACAGCTGCTACAGATATGCTGCTTTATAAGGCAGGATCATTATCTCAGTACATTGCTGCAGTGTGTCACAGATACAGCAGATGATTTGTTGTGACATGTAAAAAGCACAATCTACTGAGTAAACTATATAAGGGTTATACAAGTTACCTTACTCTTGAGAGGGTTTGCCCATTTTGGGTATTAGAGCATCAACAGTCACATTGGAACACTAGGAATTCTGCTGCAGTTTGTCATTGCAGACATTTTCACAACATGCTAAGCAAAGTCAGGAACAATTCCCAGTGAAAGGGAGAAGCATGATCATTCTTCTATCTTATTACAGTGATGTAAGGGGTCCATGCCGTTCATTTACACTTACAGCTGTTGAAGTTTGAGAAACAGACAATTTTGGAGATTTCAGACTTAGAATTTATAAGCAACTTCCTTGATTTATATTCAAACAGATTATTCATGCACCTTAACACTTTGTTAAGCCCACAATACATTAGTCTGTTCTTTTGAAGGGTGAGGGTGGAAAAGCCTCCAGCTGTCCACAAATACCCATTCGGAAAGTCTGCCTCACTTGATAATAACATATGCATCGCAGTTTGTTACAGTGACATAAAAAATAAGTTTACGTGCTGGAATGCAGAAAAAGAGCCCGCAAAGCAAACTCTCACCAAAAAGAATGTTTCTACTTGGCTTTTACGTTGATAGTACTGTCACCTTCAGAGACAAGTCTGCCAGCTTCACCAAAGCTGGAGTTCAGAACATGCTGGAGGTACACTGGGCAGCTTAATCTCCTCATTTCCTGGAAAATTGTGAAACATCAGAACTACAGAATGTCTCCATAGCATGTTTTCCAGTCCTCCTTAATCACTTTTAATAATCAAGATAACACTTGCTTTGGTGGTAGCAGAACCTACAATGAGAAAAATTCTCTCCAATAGCTTTTTTACTTAATATGTGCCATAGATAAAAGAACTGCTCTTGTAAGTCACACTATGTCGACATTTTTGTCCTTCACACTGGGATTCATTTACTTACAAATAAGCAACTAATGTTACTTTGGATGAATCAGTCTGTCCCCTTTGTTCTGCTATTTCAGAAGAGAAGAGTTATGTGCTACATCCATCAATTTCATGTTGTTGTCTAGGTAATCAAAAGTCACCTAAAATGGTAATACACAATAAGGGACCCAAATCCCACTCAGTGACCTAAGACCTGTTGTGTATGTGGTATGTGTAAGTGTTGTGGTGGTATGAGAAGTCACCTTTTGCACATAGAAACCTGCAATTCTAGAACAAGCTTCAGTAATGTCTAAGGTCATAGCCTCTCTACAAGAGTTATTTTAAAGCAAAATTATCTTGCATTTCAATTATTTTAACAGCCATGTAGAAGATTATCAAGTAGATAAAAAAAAAGGCAAGCACAGAAAGATAAGCTTAGGGCTATTTCTACGAATGTCACTGATGGTGGTACATTTATATAAGATATGAATTGCTCCACATGGATCAACCTGGAGGATCAGGGACACTGTTACTTAAATGCAATGGGACTTAAAGATAAGCACTTTAAGGAGTTCAGGGTCTGAATTAGACATGAATAAAGAGAAAAATATTATTTTAGTATTATTAGCATATTTCTGATTATTTGGCAATACAACGTGAAAGGCCAGGCTAAAAGAAACCGTGAACTGTTGTACTTGTCCTTAAACATTGCTTTCTATATTATTCAGTCCAATGGTACATCATACCCATGAACATTAATTAACACAATTTCTTAAAGGTTCTTTTCTTCTGCTAGTGGTGTTAAGGGGAAAACAACTTTTTTTTTCAAGCAAGTTATATATGGCAGTTAGGAAAGAAGATTCACAGATGAGTTACAGTAACTACAGAAGTCAGAGTGGAAACTTATGCAGAAGTGTAAAGATAATTTCTATCTAATTTGAAGTTATGATAAATAAAATATTTATTTGATGATCTTTCAAAAGAACTACAGAGGGTCTGGCAAAATTAAGAATTCACTTTCTTTGTAGGCAATCATATAGTTGTTTACAGGCCCGCTCCCTGCCTCCCCCATCCAACAGAAAATAGGGAAGCATGGTGAAGTTTATTTTCTCTATCAATTTTCAGGCATGCCTGGTGATTAAGCAGTTACATTTTGGTCTTTTCAGATTACACCTGGAAGCAAGGCTTCAGCCGCCAACCTGTGCCCTGGTGATGTTATTATAGCTATTGATGGTCTAGGCACAGAGAACATGACACATAATGATGCCCAGGAGAGAATTAAAGCAGCTACACATCAGCTTTGTTTGAAAATAGAGAGGTATGTGTACATGTCTGCTTATTTCTGAAAGAAGATACTACTCAACCAACTGATTATACATTACAATTATTATATGGTGTAACTATTTAAAATAGTTTGAAGAATTTCATGACGTCTTTAAAATTACAAGCAACCAGACCCACCCCACAAGCTCCAGGCCAAGCAAGACTCCCCAGAACTCATCTTCATAGGTACAAAAAAAATTATTTCTCTCAGGTTACTTGGCACATGACTCTGCTGACTCCATAAATCCTGTGTTTACCATCAGTAAGCAAGCAGATTTCCCTCATGTTTTGGGGAAATGATAAAACCTTCATCTAGCAGTCACTTTTTCAGTGACTTCTCTACTCCAGTACTTCCTCAGCCACAGGTGCTTATCATTGCCTCCTGCTCCCAAGCACAGACAAAGCTGCTAGTATATCCTTTCAGTTAGGGAAAACACCATGTCAGGCATTCATAAAGGGTGACAAAAGAGCAAGTTTAAAGCAAATCCTTTTGGTCACAACATATTAAGCCAGATACAGGATTCTCAAATCAACATTAAAAACAAAACTAAGAAACGCTCTCCTACCTAAACTGCAGGAGTCCAGAAACTTTCGTGTTCATTTGCATCTCCAGCTGAGTTTGCTCAGGCTTTAATCAGAATCATTTAGCACACTCTTTCAGCTCTCTCCAAAATTAGGACAGCCCTGATTGACCTGAGGCCCTCAAGGAAGCACAGCTCTTTATTACAGCTAAGCACAATATTTGTTTCCAAATACAGAAGGTGGAGTTGTTTTTGAAAGGATCATTGTCTAATTACTAGAGCAAACACCATGGTTAAAAATTCCCACAGCTAATTCTAGGTTCTGATATATGCCATTTAACAACTATCTTGGAAAGCCATTTTCAAGATGTGATAAGTGTATATATAACAAACAGTACTAGATTAGTATTTAACATTACTATTATGCTACTGTAAAATTAGTTGCCATATTTCACTTTGTCAATGAAAACAGAATTGTAACTGGTATTTTTGTGTTTGTTATCCCTGCCTACATGACTGAAAGAATCTTCTGTGCCACTTTGATTTACGCTTGCACATACTTTGCATACTTAGATTGCACTTCTACATTTAAAAGCAGGCTTTGCATGGATATTGTTATCACAAAAAAAAATTGAAGTTCCTGGTTTAGGATTATTGCTATCATATTCACTTACTTGTGCAAAATATTCTGAGGACGCAACATTCATTCTATCAACCATTAAAAAAGTAAAACTTTAAAAAGTTTGGTCAGCTCAGATCAGAAAGGCAGTACTTTCCCTTTCCCTTTGCATTTGGAAACTATTAACAATTTGCTTCCCATTGTTCATAGCATACATAATTTTTTTAAAAGTAAATACACTTCATATATATTGATTACATATCATCAAAGTTTTTTTATGTCAAAACATTAAAAAAGCAGAGAAAAACCTGCACATTCCCAAGCTGCATTATATTTCATAGGGACATATACAACCCTATAGGAATTCAAAATATTTAAATTCTGCATTTCTCTCTTTCTAGGGCAGGAACTAAATTATGGTCCCCACAAGTTTCAGAAGATGGCAGAGCACATCCCTTCAAGATAAATTTGGAAGCTGAACCACAGGTATGAATTGTGAAAAGTTACCTAACCATTTCCATTTGCCTTTTTGCATTATAAATTATCTCCCTTGTGGTCATTAAAATTCTTTGAGTAGAACTTCATCCATTATCTGCCAGTTTAAGCTAATACAGACCACCATGAATATGACATATATGAACACCATTTTATCTGACAGAATGTTTTTGATTTTTCAGCTATAACTGAAACAAAACATTAACAATCTACAATACATTCTCATATTTCTTTAAGACTGTTGCTTATCACCATCATTCTATTATGGAAATAAAATATGTTCTTTTATTCTGATATAGTTTAAGTTGCTTTAACTCTTTTAGAGATTCTTCATCATTTGAGGAAATTTTTCAATCAGGAATAAATAACAAGTACCTAAGCGATGAACTCATCAGACCACATAATTCAATTTGATGTAATGGTTAAATAAAGAGATCCATTAATGCTAGATCTCTTTATTTCCATACATTTTTATACTACACCACAGAACTGAAGTTTACGACTCTGTACAAGATCCATGTACAGGTCTTGTACAAGCAAATTCACCACTTCTGACCAGTAAAGTCTTGATCCTTGTATGTGACCAGAGTAAATCCACTCAATTGACATCCTCCTCTCTCTTGAAGCTCAAAAAGAAGAGCTACTATGAGTCAGAGCCTCTGTACCATTAATAGCTAATTAGCTAGCTACTGCCTATACCTAGTCCTTTATTTATTTGTCATTCCTTTTTAACCTACACAAACATTTGGTGTTCTCCCAAGAGGAGTGAGGGAAGAACATTCTGCTGATCCTAAAACTGCAGGTTCAAAGCAAGTATGTCAAAGTATTTATTTTGTGTTATCCTAGAAAATGTAAGTGCAGACTCCATGTCAATAAATCCTGTGCAATAAGTGCTCCCACCAATCCAAAGTTTTCACAGAGACACTTCCAAACATGGCATTTCAGTGTTTCATTTCTCTCTCTTCTTTCCAATCTAAAAACTTGCATTAAGTGATACAGCAAACTTATTCAGAAATAACACAGCCTCTTCAGCAGCAGGAGATACTATAATGAAGAAACAAAACTATTTTAAATGCATATTTTTGTGGAATAGTAGGATACACATTAAATGAATAGCAATGGAACAAATTCACTAAAAAAACTATAGAGAAAACCATGCAGGCATGTATGACAGAAGAGTAATCCCTCTGCATGAAAGCTGCATTCCTAAAAAGGACAGTTACTTTAAAATAGATCACAAGATTTCACTAAGTGCTACTTGGCAGACTATTGAAAAGCTGTTTCCATTTGGCAATTAGAAAAACTGTTTCTCCTAGATTAAAACCAGCCTTTTCATTTTAGTATATCTCTCTTTCCTTCCTAGAAAAATCAGGAGCATTGAGTATATTTAATAAATAGTACGCACCAGACAAGTAAAAATGCTTGCAAGCAACTGTGCTATACCATTCCTGGGATGATTTCCATTTTAGATTATATTCTTCCATCCAAGAGCATCCATCACTCTGATTTCCCTGTGGAAAAAAATAAATATAGCCTTTTGTTCTACAATTGCTGTAATTTTAAATTAAATTTTATCACATATTTAGTCACGACAGTAGTCCCAGAAGCACTGTATATCAGTAAGGAAAATAGTACGAAGTTTCTTTAATTCCAGATGACAAATATTTGCACAACCTGTGCTGTCTAGGTCATATAAGAGCAAAGCCTTTGACACCTTCTCCACAGCATACTCCTGGAAAAGCTGCAGCCCATGGCTTGGACAGGATCACTCTCTGCTGGGTTAAGAACTGGCTGGAGGCCCGGGCCCAGAGAGTGCTGGTGAACAGTGCTGCATCCAGTTGGCAGCTGGTCACTAGTGGTGTCCTCCAGGGATCAGTGTTGGGCCCAGTCCTGTTTAATATCTTTACTGATGATCCAGATGAGGGGATCGAGTCTTACATTAGCAAATTTGCAGATGACACCAAGTTGGGGGGAGTGTCAATCTGCTGGAGGGTGGGAGGCCTCTACAGAAGGACCTGGACAGGTGGGATATATGGGCTGAATCCAACCGTATGAGGTTCAACAAGGCCAAGTGCCGGGTCCTGCACTTTGGTCATGACAACCCCCTGCAGTGCTACAGGCTGGGGACAGAGTGGCTGGAGAGTGACCAGGCAGAAAGGGACCTGGGGCCAACCGGGCCAGGGAAGTGATTCTGCCTCTGTATTTGGCACTAGTGAAGCCACACGTTGAGTGCTGTGTCCAGTTTCGGGCCCTTCAGTTTAGGAAGGATGTTGAGGTGCTGGAGCATGTCCAGAGAAGAGCAACAAGTGAAGGGCCTGGAGTACAAGTCCTATGAGAAGCAGCTGAGGGAGCTGGGATTGTTCAGCCTGGAGAGGAGGAGGCTCAGGGGAGACCCCATCACTCTCTACAACTACATGAAAGGAGGTTGTAGGCGGGTGGGGGTCGGTCTCTTTTCCCAGACAACCAGCAATAGGGCAAGAGCACACAGTCTTAAGCTGTGCTGGGGGAGATTTATGTTGGCCATTAGGAAGTTCTTCACAGAAAGCGTGATTGGGCATTGGCATGGGCTGCCCAGGGAGGTGGTGGAGTCACCATCCCTGGAGGTGTTTAGGAAAAGACTGGATGTGGCACTTAGTCCCATGGTCTAGTTGACAAGGTGGTGTTAGGTCATAGGTTGGATCAGAGGTCTTTTCCAACCTAGTTGATTCTGGGATTCTGTGACCGATGTGCAGAAATGGAAAACCACTGAATTACATTTCCTCCATTTCTATAAAAATTAAAATTGCTCAAAAGGTCATAGATCTTATAAATGTAATCAGATCTTTTTAACTCTTGCCAGATAGACATTTTAAAATTCACCAAGAAAGTTAAGAGATGTCAGTAATTAAAAATGCATTATAAGCCAACTAAATAGCAAAAACAGATGAAGACTTAACCAATATTCTTAATAAGTATCTAGTTTCTGTTTGTAGGCTAATAAAAGATAGTTAAAATGAATGTAAAACCTATTTTAAATTTTTCAGCAATTTGGCCAACTATTTGGCCAAAGAACACTTACTGTATCTTCAGTGGATAAAAATTTTTCTACAGATGCTTGGAGATGGTTATGTGAAAACTGATAGACAACTAAATATTGTTCCTACTTACAGCTATGGAACAAGGAACCTTTATACGGTACCAAACTTCTGTATCAGGCTTAGCATCTCCCAAGAGTCATTTGGAGACTGACAGAGGCAATTGTCAGAGCCCAATGAAAGCTCTCACTATTTTTAAACCCTTGGAAGAGGAAGCTGAGGCAATAATTCCAACTTACAGCAATAAGTGGCTTGACTGAAAGTGACTCTTGAAAGTTACACGTTCCCACATAAAAAACAACCACACTAACTTTGTTAGTCTGGAGCAACCTATAGTGTGATGGATAAATAACAGGAAATAACAGACCACTTGAAGAATTACTAATACAATCACATTGTAAACTATATAAAAGTGACTTAGTACATGCAGTTCTCAATGAATATAATTAGAAAGATAATCTTTCACAAATGGCAAATTATAAAATTATTTTTAAAATCCTTTCTGCTATATTGTCAATGTAAAATAACATGATGACCTGTAAATGTTTTCTGTTACAATCCCTTTAACCTGATTGAAAACTATTTTATATTCATTACCACAATATCTTGAATTGTTTTTATTTGAGCTTTTCTCAGTTGCATCTATCTTTGCCTTTGAACATTTTATTCAGTGAGACTAGACTTTTGGTCCTGAAGGACATTATACATTCCTATGAGATACACTATGCACATAGATAAAAATCTAAGAAAAATACAAGCCACTCTTCTAAAAAGTAACTTAATAGTCTATTACCACTTAAAATCAACTTTTGAAACAATATAATTGTCCTAGCTAGTTTTGAGGACCTACCCCCTCTTTTTAACAGCATTTAAAAGATCAAGGTTTTAGCCACATGATACCTCCAAAATGTACACATTTGTGTTCTGTCACAGCAATTACCCCAATGAATGCCATCATATGGTCTGTGTTGGATGCCTTTCTACAGACTTTGGGAGCTACATTAATTCTATTCCTGATACCTATATCAATGTAAAAATGTAGCTAACCCTGCAAAAAGGACATCAGTCAGTTGGAAAAAAATTTAAGAAATTAAGTAATGTAAATCTCAAACATTCCTTATTAGGAATTTCAACAACTTTCAGTTCTCATTTAGCTTCTGAACTAAAAGAGGACTTTTTGCAGATTCGATGAGATATAGTAAACACAAGAGCTGGACTATTTTTGCTGCTGTATGTTCTGTCACTGACCTTTTATGTGATTAGATGAGTTATAAAGAAAACAGTATGTAAGTCTGACTAACTGCAAATACTTGTTTCGCAACTGTTACATTGTTAATATGCTATTACGGTACCTCATCTTCTATTCATTCCTCAATAGGAAATGAAAAAGGGGGATGAAATTACAATGTTCTGAGTTGGTTTTGTTAATTTTGAATCATACATGGATTTAAATCAATTTTAAATACTTTGATATTAATACCTTTCATTAAGTAGCCATGATCCTAAACACTATTAGATTATTTCCATTTACTAATACATTTTGTTAACTGCAACTCAGTTCTATCAGACAGAAAGAAGGAATTGCAAATAAAATCTTTGTGGTCATTTATCTGATTGCTGCTTTCAGTAGCCTCTTAAAGTGCAATGCTGCTAAACATTTTCATTTAATAAAACTGCTTTTTACTGTTTGCATCTTCTGGTTGCACATTCTATATATCCATGACTTTTCCTTATTCTGATCCTAAATATATTTCTGAAACTGCTGTACAACAATCACACTCAAAACCAAAGCCAAATCAGAGAACCAGCAGAGATTTCAATGGAAATTGAAGTATTAATGACCTGTGCTATCTTAACATGGCAAGGTCCAGAAAATATCAATTCAGGTTGTAGACACCTATTTGTTAGTAACAAAAGCTTTTTATTCCATATGAATGGAAGTTCAAGTGCTCTCACAGCACTGTTTCCAAAGAATGCTGCAGGACATCAGGGCCACAGAAGCTGGATGGACTGCAGCAGCTAATGTTCTTCACCCACTAGGGTAGTATGAAAATAATCTCTTAGCAGATAACAAGGCTAATTTTTTCGAAGTCTACTTCTGAGGCTTAGGGGTGGACCTGAGCTGAAAGGGACTCAAAGGAGACTGTAGTAAATATGCACAATACAAATAAGTGAATTTTCACACAGTCAGTAGCCTTTATCATTCCTGGCCAACCACTACAGAAGAAGATTTTAAGTATCTGAAAGGTCATCAGAGATTTTACTTCCAGATCTTATCCCTTATGGATTCCAGAACTGAAGGAAATTATCCTGGCCAACAATTAAAAAAAATAGTACTCCAGAAATAAATAAACATAGGAAGAATGATTTCAAATTTATCCATTTCTGGGTTTTACTTATTTATGATGATTTCACATTATGTTTAAATTATACCAGCATCACAATTTTTGATGCACAAGTATGCTTCAAAGATGAAATATGTTCAGAAAAACATTCTCAATCTGAGGTACATTCAAGATTATTTCTGTTAAAAGAAGTGTTTAAAATCATGTGTTTTCTAGGCAAGACACTTACAATAAAAGTCATACTTTTGGGAATCCCTCTATCAGTATGTGATGAAAATGCAGAATCTAGAGATTAGCACTAAAGCAAAGCAGTCAAGCTAACTATCCATGAAATGTTTCTAAAAGAATATAAACAGTGAAAAATCTCGAGAACAATATGAAAAGTCACTATAATATTTCTCCCATTTATTCTAAGCCTTCTGTTTGCCTAGAGGCAGGAAAATAATGCGTATGGCTTAAGTAGCATATACAAAATTCATGGAAAAATATAGGATGCTTGCACCAGTTAAAAAATAACAGAGTTGCAAAAGTAAAAAATGCAGATTAACAATACTGGTGTTGTCAGTTTTACTCATTACTAGCTTTGGTGTGCATTGTAGCTCTGTGTATTTTGTCTGCCTATCATGTACAGGAATTCAAGCCTATTGGTACAGCTCACAACAGAAGGGCCCAGCCTTTTGTTGCAGCAGCAAATATTGATGACAAAAGACAGGTAGTGAGCTCCTCCTATAATTCTCCAATTGGGCTCTATTCATCTGGCAATATTCAAGATGCGCTTCATGGACAACTGAGGGGTCTCATTCCTAACTCATCGCAAAAGTGAGTACTAGTATTTACTTATAATACATGGTCATTTGTGGTATTTCATTTTCTGTTCCGTTTTCAATTTAAAAGTCCAGCTCTTGCTGTTTTTTCTAGGAATCAGAAGTTCATTCACTAATTTAAAAAATGGTGATCAGTAAAACAATTTTTTCCAACACAGAGAACTATCCACTCAGCTCTGTAGTAGCAATGCTTGCAGGTAGCTAACATTTGCACTCTACGTTGGGCTGCAACACTACCCTCTGACCTCGTTTGTAACTGCACTTTGAATGTTCCTGAACACCACAGCGTTTGCATTGTGAGTACCAGGAATGAACAAACTAAACACGGTTATTTCATGGTTAAAATTTTAAAATGTTTTTAGCTTCATTTTTAACTAGAAATCAGCATTTGTAGGCCAAAGAAAGTTATTTTAATCCTTTTTTCTTTACAGGATATGAACTACTTCGAACACAAGCATAATATTCGGCCCAAACCTTTCATAATCTCAGGCCGAAGCAGGTTATAAACTTTGAGTGCTGTGCTGGATTTGATGCATGGTGGTTTTTTTTTAATGGATGGATACTCACCACTGACATTAATAAAGCATATAGATACATTTGAAATTTACTTATAGTACTAGATAACCTAATACCAAAACTAAAAACAAACAGACAAAAAAAATGAAATGGTTGACTCACAGAGCTCAGCCTTAGGACTCAAATTTCTATTTCCAAAAGAAAGTGGGTCTACACTTCCATCTCGGTTATACTGATAAGAGTCTGATGTAACTGTATCCATGAACCTGATTCAGTTTACAGCATAGCACCAGATATTGTATATTTACAGATCTTTGGCACTGCAAACTTTTTTCTGTCCAAATGCAAATACATATAATTTGTTAACTTGCTAAATAAAAGATAGCTACTTATATAGATTATCATCTAGGCCATTTAGAGATTTTAAGTTTGCTTTTCAGTAGATCTCTTTCCAGAAAACAACCTAATGCTGAGCTAAAATAGGAAAACTGATGTCACAGACACGTAAAGCTCCAATGCAGAAAATCTTACACATTTACATCCATCATTTTGATGTAATAATCCTCTGTCATAACTGGTGATGAAATTCCCCACTATTCTTTACATTATTAAATACAGAGGAGGAAGAGCCAATTCAAACTGTGCGGCTAAAAACACAAGGAAGCTAATAAGGGCATGAGGGATGCAATATATTGCCAGCAGTAGCAGGTTTTACTAGTGGAATTAGTGTTCTACATTTAATTCTGAAAAATTATAATGCCCACATTTTAATTATACTAATTTAAGTCTGACAAACTACACCAGAAGAACAGTATGACAAATGATTCCAGTGTACAAAGGGCAATCTCATATGGATCATCAGTTTTGAGAGATGTCTTAAATTTTTCAATCACCTGACTGTAGGAGTTTGTTCCATCCTGCTAACAAGAACTATCAATGTAGAACACCCCCATAGTGGAGAAAAGGTGCCCAAGGACAAAACAGTCCTTAGCAAGCATGCATGGCTTCTCACTGTAGGTAGCACTTACAGACTGTACCAAAACAGACTTTGGGACTGCTAGGTCCCAAAATGTTTTACATGTGCCTACTGGATTTATGAAGATTCAAATGAATGAATCAAGAGCCTAAACTCTTAATTCAGAAACCTCAATTACGCACTGTTTTCCATGAAAATACTGAAGTAAACAGCCATTTTCCAGCATGTCAGATGAGGAAAATAAACTGCAAAAACTACCCTGACAGCGATGCAACCAACAAGTTTCAGAACTTTTGTTGGGCAAGATCTATCAGCACTGGAGAGGTCTGCTCTTGCAAACTGCAGAATCTCTGACACAGGGTGTTACATCTATGAAACCTTGTTGTCCCAATGTTTGGGTGCTACTATTTCACCAGTTTGGCTCAATACGTACCCACTGCTAAACACAGCAAAAAGCCTTGACCATAACTATCCTTTTAGGACAGATAGTGGAGGCTAAATAGGACTTTGATTAAAAGAAAATCTGATTGTGGACTGGGGTTTGGACTAGTAGGTTGGACATTGGCCAAAATTTTGGACTTCATTCTGGCAAAACTAACTGGAGATTACATTTAATATATAACTATATTTTATTTATTATTTACCTATAATTTATCCTGGTTTAACATTACTTTGGCTGCTCATAGCAAGAGTTGTGGTTTTTCTAGCATTTTCCCGCTGCTTTCCATTTATTAACATTATTGGCACTGACAAAACTTACCCTACTGCAGGATCTAAAGGTGGTCCTGATTCTTCTAAAAGAAAATACTGTAAATTTGTATGTTGCCCTGTGTGGATTTTTTGGCTGGCTCATGCTAGGTGATGATGCACAATTACAGTTTGCTTAAAGGCTTGCCTACCATTTCTAGAATAAACTTTTTTTTGAGTTGTCTTCGATAGTAAAGTGTGTATTTCCCCTTAAAATTTTAAGAAAGTGGTCCTGCACAAATTCCCCTCTGAATCAAAGGCAGAATTTTGGTTTGTCTTCTCCACCCGAGAAAAGCTACTGGGCAGACTACTGTACTATCAAACTGGGAAATAGAGCATTCTTCCAGGTTTACACAGAGTCATCAGTTTGGAAAAACTAACCACAACTCTGATAGGAAGGTTGGAGGATGTATTTGAAGCATCTGAATATCTCAGCATAAATAATAACCAATGACTGTGTAAAAGCCTTGGTTACGTGCTGTTACATAGCAACAGCAAAGAAATACCCTGTAATAAACAAAGCCTCTGAGGTACTATGGAGAGAAGACTGAACTGTATAAAACAGTGACACTCAGAGAGACTTCAGGCCTCATGTCCACATTTTTTTGCTAATATTTTTCCAGGTATGTTGAATTGCACAGTAACTTCACTTCAGTAATGTCAAGCAAAATTAATATTTCTAAAAAGCGTACATCTTATTTTTTATATATAAATGAAATATAAAGTCTACTTCAAAAGTAGGAAAAATTAATTCTCTGAATACATACCCATTGTTCTTGTGAAGGACCACTTTACATTTTACTGGAAACACTGTAATTTAGAAAAGCAAAAGTAAGCCTGGATGCTTTAGTATCTCTTCTTCTTTGTAATGATTAACAAATTATTTTTTTTAATTGTTAAACTAATTTTAAAATATTAATAAATATCTTATTGTAGAATTCAAGGAAATCTAGAAAATGCCACACCCATTATTTTACACTAATTTATCGTAGTCTTTTCAGCTGTGGACTGAGATAGGTGTGAGGTATAGAACTGAAATGATGTGCCTGGGATTTCAGTGCTGCAGGTGTTTATTCTGTCACTGCATGGACAACTCACACAACTTTTGTATGCTACCATTTTATAGATGTTAAGAATTACTCACCTAGAACAAAGCATTTTAGGGAGGCTTAATTAATCCTCAATAAAACCTAGCACTACAAATGTAAAGTGGTATTACGTTCTGAATTATTCAATCTATCAATGGATTTTTACTATCTTTAAAGAACACACGCATGCCAGAATTTCAAGGACTTCTTTATAACTGGCATTGATAATTTTTGCAGGAAAATTCCTTTTAATGACTACGCATACTTTTGCTTTTCTCTACTTTCTATACTTTTGCTTTTCTGTATCTGTTCCATTTATGCTTTTCAGGCCTGTTAACATCACTGTATTTCTGTACTTTTGTCTTTATTCTGTGTAATCCAATGCACACTGCACACTCTTCTGTAATGTGCCTATTAACACAGTGGATGCAGCACTCCTTCGGGGATGGACTGTGGCAGTGGACGCAGTACCCCCTCTTCAATTAGCACGGTTAGCTCTATCTGCCCCACAGAGCTGAAAGCAGTGTCTAAGATGGCCCCTAACATTCCCTTGGAAATGGAGCTTCCTGGTGTCAAGATTGTACATGCTCAGTTTAACACACCTATGCAGTTGTACTCAGATGACAATATCATGGAAACACTGCAAGGCCAAGTTTCTACAGCTCTGGGGGAATCACCTGTCATAAGGTAATTAGAGCAGTATCTTTCATATTTATGAATATACAAATTTAAAATATGCCAAAAATCACAAGGTTTAGTAACATCACTCTTTCTATGAAAAAGGGGGAAAGGGTTAGAGAGAAACTAAGTAATTTAAAAATATTCAGTAGTTTCATTAAAATATTGGTAATTTCTATTTTCTAACCCAAAGTATTAAAGGAATCCTTCAGAATTTACAAATAAATATTTCATAGGTAATAATCTTCAAATTGTGGCTAATAAATAAAAACTGATTATACTACCTGGACTATTAGCTGGTTGACCATTCCAAATCAAGATTTTTATTCCCTACAAAAATCAAAACTGTTTATTACTATTATAATTACTTATCTGATAACAATTTAATCATTTTCTCTTATTAATAAGTAATAAAATATAATTAAATAAAATTTATTTTAACTGTTTACTTTCAGGTTAGGAAGATTAGGAAATCTTGTAGATGTTTATAGTGTTCCAGTTATTTAATTCTCATTCAGGACAACTCATTCAGTACAACTAGCTCTCGCACAAAAAGAGATAGAATTTACTGTAGGCCTACTAATCCATGTCCGACTTACGAATTTTATCCCTTGCATGACTAAAAGTCAGGTAGGAACCTTATATATATGGATAATAATGGTTATACAATACAAGGTTTAAGGCACTATTCATTTTTTCTAAGGGATCATTCACCAGTCACATTGCTTTATCTTTACTTTTGCATAATAGTAACTTATTTTTCTGTTTTACAACAGTACTTAAGTTAATAATTCATAATATGTATGGCGTAAACTAAAGCTAGTTACTAATATTTTAAATAAGCAATAATCATTGGCACCAATGAGCCTTCTTTCATACCTCGAAGAATTTGGCTGCTACTAACCAAAAAAGCCATATTTATATAGAAGTATTTAAGTTCACCCTATCTGACGAAAAGAAAACTATAGTTCATGAAGTCTCTGCAGAGTGAAGTTACTCTAGTGCCTGAATATTTATCCTCAATCAGAACAATTAGAGAACAATAAAAGAAAAATTTGCTGCTTTTTTATTCTGAAATAATGGATTAAACCCAAAGTAACCAGATTTCACACTGCCTGTGACACTGACAGTTTGAGAACTGACTCTCTACATATTTGAAATGTCTCTTTTGTTGTGGGATTGGTTTTCACTATGTACGCATTTAGAAATGTAATCTCACACATTTGTGTCTGGGTTTTTTTTGTTTGCCTTCTGTATGTAATTCCATTATCACTTGTTTGATGTTTAGAAATATTTTAGTTAAGAGGAGACAATTCAAGAGTTTAATTAACCATTGCCAAGAATTGTAAAAACTAAACTACTTTTATTCATTAAAAGCATCTGGCAAGAAAAGAAAATTGTAGTTTCCTCAACAGCTTAAAGATAGCTCAAAGAAATCTACTGATGGATGAAGATGCAAACAATTCACATAAGCAACAGGGGGGTCACTACCCAACTGCTGCTGCTCTTACTGGGCCATTTGGCAGCTTGGATGCTACCCTGGGAAACAAATAAACTATTTAAAGCAAAACTCAGTCTAATTCTTTGTGGAATCAGTTCCTTAGTTACAGTGGCAACTTACCTAAGATTTAACAGACAGTAGAAGGCCAGTTGCAAAAGGAAATTTAAACCAGACACTTGTGTGTGTAGCAGTAAGATAATAGACTTCATCAAAGTAAATGTGGAGCTTCCTAATTAGCCCCAGTAGCAGTTTGAAATTTACAGATGCCGCACATTCAGTCTAATTCCTGTCAGTGCATATAGTCATCTACCTTTCCTCTCAACTACTTAGGATGTCATTTATCATGAACAATTCAAGACATTCAGCACAGTTTAAAATCACATGAAGTATTCTTAGTAAAATGTTCATCTTGCAGGTCATTTGAGATTTAACCACCAACTATTGTTTGGACAATAAATTACTTTATCTTTTCAGCATAAAATTGTCATTACAAAAGTAAGCCATGTATCATTTTTATTAAATCAAGAAATAGAACTTCCATTTGTCAGTATTCACCTTACAATGCTTCCTACTATACAATACCTATTTCTCTTTTTTGTCACCTCCATAAGTTAAATAAATAACAATTTTCTTAACAAAATAATCATTGTATTATCTAGTGATGGAGCCAACTTAGAAGTCATATCTTCCCAAAAGATTTGTCTGCTTACGTTTTGGGGCTGATCTTATGTAAAGGTATAAGCTGTGATTTTAACAACATTCTTGAGGCCAGGTGCTGTGAAAAGGGAACTTCCGGCTACCCTACCAAAGAGCACCTGGTAATACAGCAGATGATTACAGCAATGAAACTATTTTGAAGTTAAATGGCCTATTTCCAAATGTCAGTAGAGCCAGAACAGTAATTATGGAAATACTTTTATGAGTTTGTAGATTTATTTTTTTAACAATTGCACTGATCTAATTTTTTTCCTTTAGATAAAGAGTCTATATAAAGCAATGTTACCAGGAAGAAAGTTTGTCAGTAGTTGTTGAAACACACTGTCTTTATGTTTGTTTCCTGAATCAGACTCTATGCCTGGTAGAGCTATTCCTTTAAAATTATATTTGTTAAACTGCTTTATCTGCTCTTCCTCCCTTTGCTACAGTGACCCATCTCCCAACTCAGTGACTCAGTCTGATGTGTACAAGATGCTCCATGCCAACCAGGAGGAGCCCAGTCAGCCGCGCCAGTCTGGCTCCTTTAAGGTGCTCCAGAATTTAGTCTCCGAGGAAGGTGGATAATAATGACATATTCTACCTGTTCAAATAGTTTTAAAATGTTTGTGGGAAGGGGGAATCTAAGAAGAAAGTAAGAGAGATCAGAGATATAAGCATTGCTGGAAGCCTAAATCATTCTGTATCTTATAATTATCACACCAGTCTCCTGTCATTTCGCCTCCTTGCTTGTATAGCTAGCAATCTCCTCTGTGAATACAATGGAGGTGTTAATCACCTTTTTCAGAATCTTTTCTCAGGTTTTAAGATCATTAATGTACAGCTGACTTTACAATAAAACAATAAAAATTTTATGTGAGAGGATTTTTGGGACAAGCTCCTTATACTCATGACACCAAGAAAGAAAACGCTCTCTTCCACATCCAGGAAAAGAGGAAATAAAACCAACTCTTAAAATCCCCTTAAAACCGATTCTGTCTTTATTCTAAATAAAAACTGAAGAGGATAATATAATTTACAGTCATATTTCGTTTTGAAAATAAAATCCCTAAAATCTGCAAGTTTGTTATATTTACGATAAGCATAAAGAGTAAAATAAAACCATAATTAACCTAAAAGATAAATATTTAAAATTTTAATGTTTATGTCTCAATATTTACCAGAGAAGGGATAAATACATCTAATTGTCTATATATATCATTGTGGGATTTTGCTTGGCATTCTCTTGTATTTTGTTATTATTTTGTATTCATATCATGCTACTAATCATTCCTATTTTTTGTATGGTGATTTATATAAATAAGAAGCTTTTTAACAATAGATCTTGATTTTGTTATGTTGCTATGTAAAGCCTCCTCCCTCTCCTGCTATATTCAAGACCTACTACCAGAGAATTAGATGATGTCCATGAGACGGAGAGCACTGCATATACGATCTCTTTTGTACTTGCTTTTTGGCTACGGATACACAACACTTTTCCTGATTCCAGAGACGTGGAATGTGGCCCATGAAAGTTCTATAGTGAAACAGCATTGTTTGTTGATAAAAGTGAAAGCCTGTAAATATATCCAGAAGTATATTTACAGGAAAAGTACTTACTGCACCAGATGCTTTTATATCAGCCTATACATAACTGGGTTGTTTTGTTTCTCAGATGGGCGCCCTGTGGGTACAAGGAGTGTGAAAGCCCCTGTAACAAAGGCACCTACTGCCACGCCTGGTGTCCAGAAAGTGCCACTGTGTGACAAGTGCGGGAACGGGATTCTGTAAGTTGTTTCTTTTTAGTTTAGAAATCTCTAGCTCAAGAAATTTCTAAATCTCTAATTATTAACCTATACCTTCAACAATTTCGATACAGATTATTTCAGTTTTGCAAATGTACTGTCAAGGTTTTAATTGAGATTTCCCAGGACCTTTTGCAATTCAACCATTAACACACACATAATGTAACTAGCAGTTATCTGTGATGTGTTATCTCAGGCTGTGAATTCTCAAAAGTTTCTTGGTAGTGCAAAGCAGCCTTCTCCCAACCCAGTGGGAGTATCCAGAAAGCTCTGTGAACTTATTTTTAAAATACGAGATTTCTACCTGAAAGTTCTAACTTCAGCAAAGAACGCAGATAATTATGAACTCAGAGAACACAGTCACTAAAGAAAGGAATGTGGTTTTGAAACTCATTTTGTCACTATTTTGATAGGTTAGGATGTACTTTCTGTCTTGTAACCAAACTAACATGTTTCTTTAAATTCTTAATTTTCCAATGCACTAACAAACTACGTGATCAACTCTACAGCATTTTATGTCACTTACTCAAACTCAGCATCCAAACTTAAATAATATAGTAGTTTCCAAAACCACCAGATGAACAACCTTAAAATAAATACATAGAACATTCTTTGTGTCATACTGTATCACAGAATCATAGTCATAGAATGGTTTGAGTTGGAAGGGACCTTAAAGATCATCTAGTTCCAACCTCCCTGCCATGGGCAGGGATGCCTTCCACTTGACCAGTTCGCTTCAGTTTCTTCTCACTTTAAATTCATATGAATTAATTTGGGTTTTTTTCTTTTCATTGTTTCCATACAGAGGAACAGTGGTGAAGGCACGTGATAAATACCGGCACCCAGAATGTTTTGTGTGCTCTGACTGCAATCTCAACCTGAAACAAAAAGGTTACTTCTTTGTGGAGGGCCAACTTTACTGTGAAGCTCATGCCCGAGCTCGCATGAGGCCACCAGAGGGATATGAAACAGTCACCGTTTACCCAAAATGCTAGTCTTGGGTTAACACACGATTATATGCATGCACACAAAAAGCCATTTCCAGCTTAGAACTGCAGTACAACCTTCCCTTGAGGGATTCTGGGGGAGGTGGAAGCCCCTATTAGCCAGCAGTAGCATATTATACCAGAAAAATTCTGCTACAATATTGTCTTTGAAGTTGTCAATATCAATATAAGTCAAGGAAGTAAAAAATAAAAGAGCTGTCCTGGAATACAAAAAGTGAAACATGAATGCTACAACATATACATAAGTGCTGTAAACAAGACATTATTTCTAACATAAATTAAGTATCTATGCAAACACCAACACCATCAAAGTCTTACAGTCTGTAAATGTAGAGGCTTGACAGGTCATTAAAAAAGCAGCTATTTTACATGGGCAGTACAAAACAAGCAGTTGTTCATGTCTGCTTCAGCTATCTATTATTCAACCAGCATTAATGTGCACCCCAGATAGATTTTGCTTACTTTGCTTTGAATTTGGGGTTATATTGCCTTAATTTTCTGATTCAGCAACTGTGATAAAGAATAAATGTCAAGTCACATAATAGAATGGCTAGTATAATAAAGACTGGTTGGTATGAAGCAAAACAAAAATTCTGTGTTGTCTTAATGATTTGCAATGGCATCATCTTTCACATAACTTAACAAAAAAATTGTTCTGAGGCATGAACACACATACATTGTTTTCTGGAGAAAAAAACCCCACACTAATAGAAACTCACTGCAAATTTAGTTCGAAAGTAAATTTTAAAACGTTTCTGCAGAAAATTATACTGGATTTTTGCATCTCCACCTTTTAATTTCCATAATAGAAAAAAAGGGGAAACATCATCATAATATCTTTGTTGTTGGAAAATTAAAGCTTGGACAACTTTAAAAACAACTGTTAATTAAAATATACAAAGGAAAGATCTCTTACAAAAAAACTAGTGAAGTCCTAAGGAAAAAAAAAGGCTGAAAGAATAAATTTTTGTCATCAATTCCTAAAATTTGTGAAGGGCTACACTGCTCTTAGGTAGCTGCCAGCTACATAAACACACCTAACTGGCAAACCAAACCTTAGCATTTACAAATAATATCAACACAAGTCAGAAATTATTTATTGGGGTATTTTGAACCCAATTTAAAGTAGAATAATCTACAAAATTTTTATCAAGTCTGCAAGACTAACAAAAAATAATAACTTCATATACTTTTCCCATTCTACAATATAAGAAGCTTAAAATGTAAGTAGAATATGAAATCAAAATAAGAAGCTGTACATACTTTAAATTTATTTTAAAAATTCACAAGTCCCAAAGATTGAAATATGACGTCCACATATTCAAACACTTTTCAAAATGTCTTAAAGTATTATTTCAGAATCTAAAAGTTTTAAAAATGAGTGTGTCACTGCCTTTATTATTTACATTTGTATATCATAAGCAGGCAAAAAAGTGTTGCACCCTTTCCAAGGTTAGTTCCTGAAATATTTTTGGGCACAAAACATAATTCTGCTCTTCAGGTATCATGGAGGCTATGTATAGTATTAATATTTTCCCACTTAATAAAGCACACAAATCTGAAACTCCTTTTGAAAGTGAGAGTGCACGTAATGTCTATTTTTACAAACTTAAAATGTCATTGGTGTTTTAAAATGTTTGTTTAATGTTTCTGTCTTTGTATGTAACTAAAGGTAAAAATAAATCTATTACATACGATAAATGTTCTGTGTTTCTTTTCAACTGGTATGGAAAATGAGGAAGTGTGAGTGTCAAATGACTTGACAATAACAGAAGTTTGGCATTTCACCCTGACAGAGATGTTTGCTTCAGACTTATAAAACCCCTGGCATGAATAAAAGGCAATTTTTGTATTAGGCATTTGAGTATATAACCTGGGCTTTCTAAAACAGAATGAGATCATGTGCCTTCAAAACTAAACACCTAAAACTGCTCTCTTTAACACACCAAACATACCAGTTACAAATGTGGGAAAACTCTTGGAAATGCAGATACTAGAACTGTTATGTTACAAGGAAGTCACAGAACGTGACCTGATCCTAAAACTTTGGGGAAAGTTCAGTGGTATTGCATCATCACGTAGTGCTATTTTGAGAGGTTTGAAGTTGGATGTGACTTTGATAGAATTAGAAGGTAAGCCTATCTAATTGCAAGTACCGACCTATAAGAGAAAACCTTTACACCAATGTAACATAAAGGAAACTACAATTTTCAGTTAATGCAGATTCTGAAATCCTTGATCCTGATAGAGGAGAAAAATAGGAAATCTCATCCATGAATCCGTGATTCATGGCACAAATCCTCAACAAAGTGTCCAGCTGAAGAACAACCCACTTTATCCTCTGGCTTCGGAATGACATAGTCAATCATGATAGCTCAATGCTACTATGCCTCTCAGCTACATCTAGACTTTTCTTATATATATTACAAGCCAAAGGCAGACATGGCATTTATTTTTAGATGGAGAGAGAGGTAGGAAGTGTGACCTCATATGCTTATTATCTCAACTTTTCAGATATTGATCAACAGGTGTGAAAAGCTTTCCTCAGCTATGCTACTGCTGCATAAACAGCAGGGCTGTTCTGGGAGATGCTAAAAACTTATATGAAACTGTAATACTCCACATGAGGAAGCCAAGAATTGCCTCTGAAAACACACATATTAATTTATATAGTACTTCTGTATCACTTGTTACATGACAAATTTGTTTTTTTGGTCTTTCAAGTAATTCAGTGTTGCCAACAATCTGGAACCTAAAAAGTTCTCTAAAGCAGTTAAAAGAAATTATACTGTTTCCATCAACTAGATAGCTTCTTACATTTTTTTCAACCACATTTCATCACTTATAAAATTAGACTAGCACTTTTGTTCAGTTCAGAAGTATGCTATTGAAATAAACCCTGTGTTATTCCCACTGACTGCGTTTTGGTTCACATCACACAACAACTTCAGAGTGCACAAAGTGGTTTCCTTTAGGATGAAATTCAATGAGAATTTGTTTTCTGGGAGCACTGCTAATGCACATCAACCACTAATGGGAACTCAATCCATAGAATCAAAATAGAACTGAACAGACCATCCCTGAAACATGTATAAACAAAGATGTCAGGTCCTCAGTACCAACTGATCTCCCCCTACTGCATCACGATGCCTTCTAAAGCACACAAAGCTTGAAGCATTGCTTGCAAGTTTTATAGAGGAAAGGTTTCTTAACAGAAATTAAATTACTGACTGCTTATCCAGTCTCAGAATTTGAACCAGTTTCAGAGGTTTCAATGCTCAGAGTTGTTTGATCAAGACTTATGGTTCAAATTTCTATAAACCATATCAAAGGGAACAACTGTGCAGCTGTGCAGATCTGAGTTGCTTGTAAAACACATGCACTTGATTTAAACTCCATTTTAGGGGGTTTTTACACACGGACAAGACCATTATTTACCTAGTACATTCATACATTTATAAATAAAATGGTGGGAAGTAAAACACGTGTTGGCCTGTATCCAGCAAATTTTATCTCTAAAGGCAACATACTCTGCAAATTTGCCTGTTTCTGTTTCTTTTTTTTAATTTCTGTCATTCAAGAAAGCTATTCAGATAGCTTCTTTTGAAATTGTTAACAAGAAATTTCCACAGATTATTCCTTTTTTTCTTAATGCATGAAGTTTTGAAATAAAATGCATACAAGTCTTCGGTTTATGGTCAGTTGCACCAACTAACATCTTTGCCTCCACAGCATATGCTGATGAATAATATGATTTACACAATGTCTGAGTTCACAAAGGATGTTGTTTCTATATATGGTAAAGCACACATTTGTTTCAGCATACTCAGTGAGTGGTTTTAGTTACACGCACCTACCTAATCCTCCCTCTCTTGGCACACCAGGGCAAAGACCAGTAAAGCTTTTAGGAGAGTCTAGAAAGACTATATTATATTACTCCGGAAAAAAATGCTTTCTTTGGCACAGGCTAGAAGAGTTGTCCAAAAGTTGAAAGAAACACTGTTTCATACAGTTCACGTGCTGACAAAATTACAGGAGTGTTCGAGTGACAAATCACAAAACACAGAAACTGTAGAATAGTTAAAGATTATTATTTATTACTCAGAAAACAAAATATTCACTAAATACCAATAGGATTCTGAGGGGAAAAATATTTTGCAAGGTTTTCACAGTTTTTCTTTTCATGACACTGTTCAAAACCAGATTTATACAAATGTCTCATTCCCTAGTTTGGGGTTTTTTAATCTTTTTAGTATATATTTGATTTAAGAGGTTCTTAATTATCCTGCTAAACCAGCAGTTATATAAAGTTAAATAGTTAAATAATAATTAGACCAGATATACTAAAGAGATATGACTGGAACAATATGTTCAATGGCAACAAAAAAAAAAGAAAAACAACAGGTAATACATGCAGCCAAATTGCCTCCACACATTCAGGTCAAAATCAAGATTCTGTATCACAAAAAAGAGCAATATTCTGATTTTATGCAAAGCCTATAAGGCGTCAATATTTGACAAGCAGCACAAGGCACAGAAGAAATATTCCGTCATAAGGCACATGTTGAGAGATTCTTTGATCTTAATACAGGATTATAATTCTAAAAATGGTCAGTTGTTTCTTCTATGACTCATAATTCATCTAACCTTTTCCATTCTCACTTTGGCTCATTATGAGATTCTTCTCCATGAGCACATATACCACCTGGTTCTGATAATTGCCTTCTCTACATACTTCCTCTTCTTTACTTACTAACTACTGGCCTTTTTGAATCCAAAGCTACTTTCACCCTTGACAGAGTACGAAAGTATAGTGCTTCAGAAATGGTGCACTGATGCACAGTGCTGTTTTTCCTTACAAGTCCACAAAAATGCCAAAGAGGTCAGTTCCCTTATTAAAGCGTGGAGTTTTAATGATCTTGTTGACATTGTTCTTTGAAAAACACACCTAAACATAGATGGGGATTTTGATGTCTCCTAGCAAAATTTATAACAGTTATTGTCCTGCTGTAGGCAGAAGTAAGGACTGAGTAAAATATGCTTTACACTGGTAGCATCTGGGCCAATAACAGGTTGTCAAATCAATCATGTCTCTACTGTGGCATGTAAGGAAAAAAGGCAAAACCTTCGAGGCACTCAGAACGCAGTGTTGCACCGGATCTCACTGCTTATTGCCAAAAGGCTTTTCATGGCAATTAAATTTCCTGGAAACAAGGCCTCCTCCTGAATGCTGAAAGGGCTCAAACTCATGTTCTCACCACGGTACAAAAGATAATACAGTGATCTGAAAGTAGGACAACCTCTTTTTTCCCAACATTCCAAGGTCAGACAAAAATGCTAAATGTCTGACCTTATATTTAACTCACCAATAATAGAGGATACTGGATACATGGTAAAAATTCATTCATAGAGTACAACAATATGAATAGTTACACTCATACAGATTCCTACATGAAAGTGGGTAAGTTTGCAGCAGTTGTGATAACAGAATCCTCTTTTGAATTTATATCTTAAATGCCCCTGGCCTTGATACTTCAGACATCCCCAAAGAGGTCAATTTACTTAAACTGACAGGTCTGACTCATACTTTGCTTTTCAAGTTAGAGAACCAAACTGACATTTCCAAATATTTAACAGATTTTGTCTCTATGATCACGTGGTCAGATCCCAGTGCCCCACATACTTGTATAATCATGCTTATCATGTTTCAATAAACTTGTCTAGTTTGCACCTGTTCAAAGGTTGGGAACATGTCTACTCATCGTCTCACAATAATCAAGAAGTGACAGCTGTCCCTGTAGCTGATTCTAACATTTCCATCATAATGAGGGACACAGACAAATTCCATTAGCTGTCCATATTTAGTCCATATTTTCATAAGAAGATTCATGGGGCTATAAAGACCTGAGTCATGCACTCTCAAGACAGATTGCCATCTGATATCAAAGATATGAGAATGATGGACTGTTTCCAGATACATCTCTCCTCTTTTCTTTCTCTTTCTTTTTATTAAAACCAGTTAGTGAATAACTGTTGCTGACTCTTTTTGTGAAAGTTATTTTTAGGGAAGAGACAATCAGTGTCAAACACCAATTAAGGAAAATATTAGTAATCCTTGGCACTTCTTGCACCTTCATACTGAAAGAGTAATGCCTGCCATTTTTCTAAAGCTTCGCATTAGATGATGTTGAAGTACTTTGTAAAATAAATAGTAGCTTTGTAATATTTATAAGGGTGGGGAATGTGTTCAGCATCTTTTTAAAAAAGATACCAGTTCTGATTTTATTAAAACTATTAGCCTCTAACCATATCAGCTTATTGGAATCATCATAAAAAAGAAAATTTAAAAAAAAAAAGAAAAGAAGCAGAGAAAGGACAATTCTCCTCCGATCTTCAAGAAAAAAACAATTTACCTTCATCTCCAGAGAATGTCTCTTCCCCTTTAAAATGACTACTTGTAAGAAGTAAGGGAAAGTATTAACTTATAGATTTATAAAAAAACAATACATTGAAATTCCTCTTCTATCAGAACTTGTTCTACAGTTTATATATTCTTGCTGAGGCCAGGAATAAATAATCTTTATTTAAAAAAAAAAGTTATTGACTTTATCTATTCCAGTTTTAGCTCCACATCCAATTCACTTATCCACAAAGCAGAAATTATTTTCTATGAAGTGACCAAGTAATTATACACTTCCATCCCACAATTTTTTCTTTTTTTCACCAAAACCTTTAACATTAGGTTCCACACTCACCTGCTACAGCACTTCCCAGCTTAGAAGTGATCCGGCAGCCCTCAGGTCTTAAGGCAAATGGTGGGGAATGAGGCAAGTGGGACACTAGGTACCACACAAGCACAATGGCATCTGCGTTGTCCCATTCAGAAACTAACATTGAAACCATCTCCTGGGCCACACATGGGATATCCACCACTTGTATACAAAGCCTGGGATTATGTCAAAAGGGTTCTGCTGAGAGATTTCTTCCTTGTTCCTGCCTTGGTGGCCAGAAAAGTCTTGGTCCAGCAAGCTCTCTGAAGGTCTTTAAACTGCTAGTATACAACAGGATTAACTCTCTCCCTGACTGAGATTCACACACATACTTCCAGTAATACTAACTTGATGTGTATCTCAGTTCCTGCATGTATCAGTAGCAGAACTCTGGTCAAAATGGTTGTATCTTCACTAAAAAAGAAGATGCAATATTCTGAGAAATTTCCACTCTTTGGATGGCTTATATCAGGCACTGATAAATTAGTTTTACATTTATTCAATTCAAATGGTGAATCTTTCTTGCATCACTAGTTCATTTTTCTTCCTATTGCACTGCTTGGAAGCAAAGCAAAGCCTTCTGCTGCCTCCCAGATCTTTCATGTTTTTTTACAACTTAACAAACATTTTGTAAGTTATTTCTGACTAAACAGCCCAATGTAAAAAAAAAAAATAATCCTACTTGATTTGTTAGCCTAGCTTAATGACAATTTGAAATGCCTGAAACAAAGATCAAAACCATTAACTGTTAAATAGCCATTCCCAAAACTGTTCACGGAAAAGCACTGAAAAAAAAACTCTGGAGACAATGTTGCCACTAATCTTAGAATAGGATCCATAAAACTCTCTGAAATTGTAAACGAGACCTATTCCAGTGACAGATTTTATGCTCTATTAATTATGGATTGCACACATAACCCAAGATTTGTTTTTCCCCTTATGATGCCACAAAAATTAAAAACAAAAATAAATTTATTTCTCAGTTGGTAAGCAGCTAAATATAAGATTTGTGTTTCTTGGTGTTGTGTAATACTGCTGGCCTAATTCCAGACACTAAACTCCTCAGCTGTCCTTGACAGGTGTAAAGTGGTTTCACTAACTTTGTACTTCTGCAAAAACACGTTAGAACTATTCAGAGATCCTGGAGACCTTGAGTACTAACAGCTATGCCATTTTTACAGACTGAGAGTCATGACCACAACTTAACTCTCTTACCTACATAACTGCAAACTACCTGTCAAAAATGATGTTTAAATAGGTAATTATCAATGCCTTTGTCAGTCTGCGGAACTATGATCCTCTGATGCTATAAACACGTGTTAACTTTCAGCATAAGCACTGAATGACAAGTCCCATGACTGAATATTAAAAAGGTCAAATTTCTTCAACATCTCTCATCACTAAACATGTTAACCAATCATATTACAGAAGCCTGAGACTGTGCAACAGGGGTTCTCCTGAGAGATCTCCTCCCTGTTCCTGCCTTGGTGGAGGAAGGAACGTCCCAAGTAATTATGTTACAGATTTTTAATTTGAAGGTGAAATAAAAAGGTTGAGTTTGAATTTGTTCTTCCACCAACAAATCCTGCCAGATCTTTAGCTTTTATGCAATATAGGATTCAAAAAATATCTCTAACGTCAACCAATCAACTGTCATACAAGCTTTAGGAAGGAAGGAAGGAAGGAAGGAAGAGAGAGAGAGAAAAAAAGAAAGAAAGAGAGAGAAAGAGAGAGAGGAAGGGAGGGAGGGAAGGGAGGGAAGGGAAGGAGGGAGGGAAGGGAGGGAGGAAGGAAGGAAGGAAAGAAGGAAGAAAGAAAGGAAGAAAGAAAGGAAGAAAGAAAGAGAGAAAGAAAGAGGGAAAGAAAAAGAGAAAGAGAGAAAGAAAGAGAGAAAGAAAGAGAGAAAGAAAGAGAGAAAGAGAGAAAGAAAGAGAGAAAGAGAGAAAGAAAGAGAGAAAGATAGATAAGGCCCTCAGAGGGCCGAGCGAGCCATGCTCAGGGGCTGCCTCCAGCACTGACGGTGGCGGGGCAGCAAAGCCTTTCCATGCCTTCCCTTCCCGGCCTTCCTCCGCCACCCTGCGGGCTCTCGGGCTAGTGATCCACAGCAGGCTCCAGTGGGGACCGGCCTCGATGGGTGGAAAAAGATAACGGAGAAGCGCTGTCCCGGCTTCCTCAGGGACCTTCCCAACACTAATGCTTCTCTTGATGACCCCGTCCCGTGCCAGGAACTGCAGCAGGACTCAATCCGGAGCAGCAGAAAGAAGCAATTTTGTGCTTCCTCAGGCAGAACAGCAAGGCTGAATTCATAGGATATCCTCTTGGAGAACATGGCAGCAGTTATGGCTGTCAGGAAACTGGGGAAGAGAGGTAAATAGAGATGACGTGCTGGTAAATACAGGTGACTCACTTCCTAACAGTCTGCTTGTGGTCTGGCTTTGAACAGTGCTTGATATTGGTCATTTTGAGGTCAACAAAACTAAAAATTACATATTTTTAAAACTGTTCTTAGACAACATAGATGAATAAAGCACAAGTTGTAATTCTACATGTGGCATAACTTGGATAATACATTCACTGACATTCACTTTAGAGCAGATGCACTTCCTTACCACTGCAATATATAGTCAATTTGCAAGTCAAATTACTCATTAGAAGGTATGCTTTCTAAACATACCTTTTAAAATTCCAGCTAAGCAATAAGATGAAAATGTAAATAAAAATACATCAGACTCAATAAATAAACTATTTATTACAGCTTTATATTTAGAAACAAAATATTGAAATTTCAAAAATTAAAGAGATTGGATTGCCCTTTATAGTTGAATTTCACTTTTCACATTTTATTTGCTTTGTTCACAGTTTAGAATCTAAAAAAGTATACCCTTCATTTCACCTTTTGCACCTAATAAGATGTCAGCTGTGTAGTCTTGGGGTTCTTTACATTCAATGATGTGAAATGAAAATTAAGAGAAACTTACTGGATTTTTGTAGAATATCACTGTAAAAATTACAAGAGTTTTTGCAAAAATGAAAAAAATGTGGTACACCCTGTCCAGTTTAAATTTAAGAACTTGCATCCTTGTAAAGTCAAATTGATTTCAATAGAGCTCTAGGTGAGAGCAAGAATCTACACTAGCAAATCCAATTATAGGATTATGGTCCAAATATCAGAAGATAAGCTTTCCATTGGAAGGTACATAAAGAACTCTAATTCAGTGGGGAAGTAGATGCTTTGCAAAATGCAAAGCATTTCTTAAAATCTAGGACCTTTGAGCTTCATATTTGTAATAAATTCAGTTTACAATTCCCAATCTGTTAAACCTAGGAATAATGAACCAAAAATGAATATATTCTTTAAAATTCTTAGGAGGGAAATAGTAGTGGAGAATTTTACATACTAGTTCTAATTCCTCTCCATAGAATTTATGTTGGATATTTTTAATGAATCCATCATAACTGCACGTGTGAGCACAGAGCGATAATGCACAATCAGTACCTCCCTCTCAATTTTGAAACCTACTTCACACACAGTTGTGGGTTTTTTCCCAATAGAAGTATTTAGTTTGGAACACGAATTTTTATTCTGTTGATAAAACAATAATACAAACAATTACACTGATAAGAAGGTTGCTCAGACCAATATACCATTCTTTTTCCCTTTTACACAAGTGTATAAATGGCAGGTCATACTTCCTTCCATCAGTGCTGGTAGTTTTGGTGTACCAAAAAATTACTTTTGGTTCTTTCTTACTTGCCATTAGTAATGATGTATTGGATTTACATGATTAGGTTTTGGGGGCAACAAGTGATGGCTTCTGTGAAAGCTGCCAGAAGCTTCCCCTATGTCTAACAGAGCCAATGCCAGCCAGCTCCAAGACTGAGCCCATCAGCAATGGCAGTAAGGCCTCAAGGCTAACATAGTTAAGAGGGGAAAAAAGTTATTGTGCAGGAGCAATTTCAGCAAGCAGAGAGAGAAGTGAGAATATGTGAGAGCAGCAGCTCTGCAGACACCAAGGTCAGTGCAGAAGGAGGAGGAGAAGGCACTCCAAGTGCCAGAGCAGAGATTCCCCTGCAGCCCATGGAGGTCCATGCTGTATCAGGTATCCACCTGCAGCCTATGAAGGACCCCACATTTGAACAGGTGGATGCCCAAAGGAGGCTGTGACCCCGCGGAAAGCCCACACCAGAGCAGGCTCCTGGCAGGGACCTGTGGATGCATGGAGAGAGGAGCCCATGCTGGAGCAGGTTTGCTGGCAGGACTTGTGACCCCATGGGGGACCCACACTGGAGCAGTCTGTTCCTGAAGGACTGCATCCCATGGGAAGGGACCCATGCTAGAACAGTTCATGAAGAACTGTAGCCTGTGGGAAGGACTCATGTTGGAGAAGTTCATGGAGGACAGGAATGACAGAGAGGCTTTGGTGGACACCCAGTGTCCAGCCAAGGTGCACCCACCACAACTGAAAAGCAATGTGCTTATCTATCTATATACATGCACTGTGTTCTACAAATCTCTTCTAACATTGCACAGTGACATGTTCATAGTTCAGGATCCTTTCTGAGTGCCATTGTTCAAAAGTTTCACAGGCTTAAATTACCTCACGTTATGTCTGCCAGTAGAGGGAGCCAATTTTATTCCATAAACATAAGGGAAAACCAGATGTTTTTTAACAGGAACACTCCTGGTCTTTTTACATTTTTCAAGTCAGAAATTATTAAAACCCAATAATTTTTCAGTGACATCTGTATAGCATGATTTCGAAGGTCTCTGTGATCCATATAGCCCTATAAAGTAACATGAATTTGCAGAAGAGAGTAGGAATGAATTTTGAAAACCAGGTTCCTCATACATTTCTGACCCTTTTTCTCCATAATTCATTTCTTCATTTATTCAATTATTTTATACAGCAATAAACAGCTGTGCTAATCACTTTTGATAGACAGCACACATAAAACAAGAACTCCAATTAAAGCAGCTTACTTTGTCACATTCAAAGTTATTATGCTTGTAGCAGGTCTGCTTTTAGATCCAGAAAGATGATGAAAAATCACTTGTTCTTAATTTTTTATGCCAGCTTTAGATTTTGATCAGCAAAGATCAGCAGAATGCCTTAGGTAAGGATCAAATGTGCCTCCTTTCATACCACCTGATTGAAAAAAAAACCTTTTTGAAGTGCCCATTTACAATATAACTGAGTTAATCAAAATATTTTTCATGCATAAGCAAGTAAGAATACTTAATAGCACACTGCATTATATTATTTATATTTTAAAGAAACCTCAAATATTCCTTAAATTTGCAATGTAAAAGTTAAGGAAAATTTTAGTAGCTATTTTGATGAATCACTAGTTTTAAATGTTCTTTTGTAAGCCTGGATTTTGAGGAAAGGATCTTAAAAATGTGACAGAAAAAGTAAAAGCATAGCTCACTAAAATGAGATGTGTTGAGGAAAAAAAAAGAAAAAAAGGAAATTCCTGTGTTAGTTTCCTAGTACACCTCTACATCCAGTACCGGTATAGGGATTGCTACAGACAGCAGAGTTTCAGCATTATTATCAATAAGCTTCCTGACATACAGGATTGAATGCAGCTTTGGCTTTTCCTGAAATAGTATGCCCACTAATACTACAAGGGTGGCAAATTTTAGTTAAAAAACATGCAGAGACCTAATTAATTCTTTGCAATCCCAAGTACAGCTAAACCCCCTAGTCTGCTGAGGCTGCATTCCTGAATAGTGCAGCAGTAAGCAATTCAATCAACAATAAAGCAATTTTTCTTGTAATAACTCACATAGCACAGAAGGAAAGTGTGCAGTAGCTTAGGAAGTACATGTAATTTAAATATTCAGAAAAAGCATATATGATGTGAAGGACAGGGATCCTGGAGCTTCCCATGGGAGCCATGGGATCACCAGTACTTCAGCCAGACAAGGTGCTGACTTTCTAGCAGCTAACTTTTCTGAACAGATTTCCATTCTGAAAGATCTCAGCTGCCTCATCTATGAGGCCAACCACCCAACACCAATATTAGTGTGTAAGCATTTTTGCTTTCTCTTTCAGAATAGTTATATTTTCCTTGCTATCATCATCTTCCTCAGATGAATCAGTGTCAGTCAAATAAAAGGGTGAAGGACATAATAAAAGGAAAATAGTGGTTAGCACTGCACGGTATTAAATGAATAATGACAGAACTCCAAACTGAAGAGCTGAGAAGTGACAGATTAAAGGGTATCACTGCATTACTTACCAGGAATCACTTAATAGAGAGATACTTATGCATTGTAAACCCACTTCAAAGTGAAATTAAAGTTTAGTCTAAGGGCAATGGCATCCATTTAGTATCTCATCTCAAAAAAAACTGTATCAAGATGGAATGCTTTGTGGAATGGAAAAACATTTATTTAGATTTTAAGAAATAATGACACTAAGCAACTAGTGGACTATGTTCTTATATATACCTAATACTAATTCCAGGCTTTATTTCTTATGCCCTCTAAGCCCATCCACACATATTTATTCCTATCCTTTTTATCCTTGTCTTCCTTTTCTCCTAAACACTGATGAATTGGCAAATTCTAAAGCAGCATCCAAATTTGTGTCTGCTGAAGGACAAGCAACAAATAACTCTTGTTTATTCTGTTTATTCTGCAACCTTTCCCTGAGTAGAGGGATTAACCTGAGTTCTTCCTTTCCTTCCAGTTATCCATTCCCATGACACTTTAAGGAATTATCTTTTAGATATATCTTGTCTATATAGGCTAAGAGTAATTAGCAGGTTCAAAAATTATTTGGGTGACTGACAGAGTACAAAAGAGGAGAGCATTTCATTTTGTTAGAGTAATCTGGCCTTACTGTCTTTTATTGCATTACATTCTGCTTTGTATCTTTTTGTGGTGTATGCAGACAATTAACTGTATGTCACAGCATTATGCAGACTTTAAAGACAAACAATTTTGAAGTTATTTGAAACCAGTTAGCAGTTGTTGTTGGGGTAAACAATAATATCTTTTGTAAGAAAAATAAGAAAACAATATAAAACACAAACATTTATTTCTATCTTATGTACTGTAAACAAAGATTTTTAACAGGAAATAACTGAATATTTATCTTTTGTCTCCAGTAGCTATAAGACAAACTAACCTTTTTTGCAGAACTTGGTTTGAAAGGTGGTGCAACTGGCATCTCTGGAGGTAGTTTCATGTGGCAAAGGCTTGTCATTAAAATAGGGATTCATGTCAAAATACTCCTGGGGATATAGATTTAGCCAACCATTTGTTTCTTTTGCTCCTTCTGTAAAACAAATACTTTGAAAGAAATATTTTGAAGATTTTTACTGTATGTTATTTAAGACAAATATGGAAAGCATTTAAATTTAGTCTTGAAGAATGTTTAACTTTCTTTGCTCTTGTTTGACGATCAAGGTATTTTATATACCCTCCATGTATAATGGAACATAGATTCATTCACTGACCAGAAAGAACAACAGTATGGAAATACGGAAGAAAAAGGTCAGGAAGAGCACTGTGCATCTGAGATGTGCCTAACAGTACTGCTTACTGTATCTTGGGCATACATGCACACATACACACCTCAAAATTCTCCTTGCGTGCATCCCAGCTGCTCATACTGGTGAACCCTGGCCACTATGTTTCCCAGATTCTGAGCACCTTACTAAGCTGAACTTCTCTAGGAATTGGTTCCTTCTAGCATGGGAGATGATGACTATTCTTAACCAGATTCCATTTAAATAAAGTAGGTTAAAACATTATTAAAAATTAAAAGACAAGCAGAAAATGTATCATCAAAATATAGTATCACCTGGTAATGCATGTAAATGTCTCAGCAAATTCCCTTTCTTTCTATCCAGCTGAAACAATCCCACCTGCCTCTTTTCTCCATTCTTATTTTCTGCACTGGTTACTTAGCTTTGTCTCTGAATTTGTCTCAACTGCAAGTAGCTGAATTATTTCTTCTTCTCACCCTAGACCAAAACTGTCCTCCTACTGCCATTTTTCATTACATATGTTGAAAATGCACAGGATAACTAGAACCAGTACAAGCAAATTTACAAGATTTATTAGATTTATGAACTTATATGAAAAAAGGAACAATGTTTTTTTATATAGCATCTAGGATAATGCGGTCCCATTCTTCTGACAACATATTATTGTGCTTTCAATTTTGGCATTGTTTGGTCATTTTGGCATTGTAGCTTAAGTCTCCAAATAAAAAATTAAGGTAAAATCCTTAACTTGTGTGGGATACTGCCAAATCTCTCAAAGAAAAAAGAGTAAATGAACAATATCTAAATCTTTTTTATACAAGATGGTTATTAATTTGTTTTCCTTTCTCCTCTTTGTAAATAACATTAGTGATTTAAAGCTAAAGGAAATCCACAGGGAAAAAAAGTTAATTTAAACTTATTAGTTTACATTTACTTATTAGTAATAAATAATCATATCACTAACACATACTAAACCAAAATATTTTTACCTTTGCATTTATTCTTTCTACTTCATCAGGTTCATGTTCATCTATGGTAAGATCTGCATAAACGTAAAACCAAAATTCATTACTTGGGTGTTCAGACCTCAAGAACCATTTAATAAATACTCTGCAAGAAGCAATACTGTGAAGTTACCCATATTCAGTTCCTTTCTTTCCTGAACTAGTATAAAACTTCTTTCCAGGAAGAATGTATCTTTCATTGCTTTCAGTTGTGGACTGAAGTACACATATAAGCCTCCTATAAGAGCTGACAAATCGACATCTAAAATAGCCACGGAAGGTTTTGAATACAGAGCTCACACATAGTCTGTCCCATCAGAAATAGCACACTTATAACTCTGCTGGTTTTGGCTAGGGTAGAGTTAATTTTCTTCCCCGTGGCTACTATGGGGCTGTGTTCTGGATTTATGCTGAACACAGAGTTGATAATGTACAGATGTCTTTTGTTTCTGCTGAGCAGTGCTTACACAGAGCCAAGGCCTTTTCTGCTTTTCGTACTGTCACGCTGGTGAGGAGACTAAGGGTGCAGAGGAAGTTGGGAGGAGATACAGCCAGGATAGGTGACCCCAGCTGACCAAAGGGATATTCCACACCATAGGACATCATGGTCAGTACATCAAGTGGGGGAGAGAAGAGGGGTATTTGGAGTGATGGCATTCGTCTTCCTAAGTAACTGTTACTGCGGCCCTGCTCTCCTGGGGATGGCTGCCTACCCATGGGAAGCAGTGAATTAATTCCTTTTTTTGCTTTGCCTCTGTGCGTGTCTTTTGCTTTGCCTAATAAACTGTCTTTAACTCAACCCACAAGCTTTCACTTCTCTGATTCTCTCCCAAGTTTTGCTGGTGGGAGAGTGAGCAAGTGGCTGCACGGGCCTTGGCTGCTGGCTGGGATTAAACCACATGAATATCCAACAGAAAGCTCTGAGAGATTCATATCACACATTAGCCATGGCTGTCATGTGGGTGCAGAGCAGAAAAGCTGCAGCATCACAGCAGTGGAAATACATCTAATAAAATAGATGTTATATATTTTATTGTAACATGTTGGAATACTGCGTACAATGGAAGGTCTAGGCACATTTTGCTTGTGCTAAGCACCTGAGATAGACAGTATGCAGAAGTTTTAGAAAGCTTGAAGTTTTGGGGTTTTGGGGTTTGTTTTTGTTTTGGAGTTTGTTGTTTTGGGTTTTTTGGGGGGTGGTTTGTTTGTTTGGGGTTGGTTTGGGTTTTTTTTGGTTTGGTTTGTTTTTTTGCAATGTGTGGAGGTTCACACAGTGAAGCTTCATTGGGTAATCTCAGTGCTGTTCTTCGAGTGTTGGTAGTTAGAGATGTTGGGTAAGGAACCAAAGGGCAGGCGACAGCAGAGAAAGAAACAAATACAGATGACAGAAAACTGACTTCTGCAGACCAGCTGAAGGGTTTGCTGTTATGAAGCTAGTTGGCATTTTTGAGGAGGAGGATAGGAATAATTTATCGAAAATAAACAGACCCGGAATTAAATTCTACAGCGTAACGCACAGAGCACTGATCGAGGGATTAATGGGGAGGATTTCTGGACCTCAGCAGCTTGATGCGACTGAGAAGGTGGATGCGGACGATCCTGGCCTAGAAGCAGCAGTAATGCGAAGCAGAAGGCAGGCAAGAGGGATTCTGGAGCGTCTTCCAAGGAATTTGCAGAAATAGTGAGGAGGTACCACAATCTTGCCGCAGACGCATTGGGCTCAGTGCAGCTACGATCACCCGAGCTAAAGAAGGCTCAGCTCTACGCACTCTGCCGCAGCGCCGGGAAGCCCGGCAGGACCGCAGGGAAGGGGAGGGAAGGCGGGTGACTCCAGAGGGAACCGTGCGGCACCGCGGCCCATCCTGCTCGGCCGTACGAGAAGGGGGCCGGGCCGACGGTCGCAGCACGGCGAGGGCACAGCCCCGTAGCGCGGGGGCGCGGCCGGGAAGGCGGGGACACGCCGGCCCCGGGAGCTGCTCCCCGCCCCTTCCCGGCGGGAGCGCGCGTGCGCCACGAGGATGCGCCCGCGCCCGGGCCCGGCCCCCGCGGCGGCGGTGACGGACGTGGTGAGTCCGCCCCTCCCCTCCTTTCCCCTCCTCTCATCTCCCCTTCCTTGGGGGTAGGGATGGGTGGGTGGATGGGTTGATGTTCGTTCGTCCTTCCTCAGCGGGGACAGGAGTGTTCCCGCCGGGGCTGCCCGCCCTGTGCTCTGGCGGGCTGGGAGCTGTGTCCCCACTGCCAGGTGGGTTTGGTGGCGGCATTTGGGCCTCCAGCCCCAAGGGCACCTCGGAGAGAGGTGTCGAGGCCCTTCGGACCCCTCTCCGCGGGGCCCGGCTTGTGTCAAACGGAGGCAGCGGCGCCTCCCGCGCTGCCCCCTCCTCCTCCCCGCTGGCAGCTGCTATTCCTCATCGCCCTGGGGGTCTCGGTCTGCGTGGCTTTGGTCAGGGATTTGGCGGAAGACCTCATCATGATAGAGCCAGGCTCTTTTCGGCGGTGCCAAGCAATGGGACAAGAGGCAATTGGCAGAAACCGATGCATAGGATGTTCCACCTGAGCACGAGGAAGAACTTCTTTACTGTACAGGTGACTGTGCACTGGAACAGGTTGCCCAGAGAGAGGCTGTGGAGACTCCCTCACTGGAGGTGTTCGAGAACTGTCTGCAGGCAATTCTGTGCAATGTCCTCTAGGACTACCCTGCTTGAGCAGGGAGATTGGACCACATGACCCACTGTGGTCCCTTCCAACCTGACCAATTCTGTGATCATCCATGATGAGCCACTGTCAAAAGGCCAGATCCTCTCTTCCTCCTTTTGCAAAGCTCTGCTTCTTATTCATGAATGTTATTCTTGCGTAGTAATAATTCAAATAAAAAGATCTTTCACATCAACCATGCAAACTTTTTTTCAGGCACTTGTGGATCCCACACTCCAAGACCCTATTAATGTAGATAACCGTGTTATCTAAAATACTTCACAGTTATGCTTCAGGAACCAAACTCTTTATTGTAGAACTTTGGCACTCCAGAGTCACTGAAACCTGAAAATCCTTTGCCCACAACTAAAAGTGTAGTAGATGATTATATTTTCATCAGGTATGCATATCTTGCATATTTCTCTTTAGAATACTTTTAATGGAAAGAAAGTTAGTCCTATGTTTTGTTTCTTTCATGAGTAACACTAGCATTGCACCTGGAAGGCTCTCATACTTTATAAGTAAACAGTTATGCAATAAGGCTTTCCAAAGGGTCATAGTGTAATTATTCTTATAGGTGTTTGGTGGGGGGGGTTAGAGCAATTAAGGCTGTGAAGCATTTCTTTTTGGGCTTAGATTGAGGAATACCCACACTCATCTGGGCTGTCACCTTTTGTTCCTCTCTGCACTGCCGCAGCTGGTTTTGTACCACAATGTTGAACGTGACTGGGAATTGATCTGTCTTCTCTCAATAAGAGGATGGGTTTCCATCTGCATGAGTTCTCTCATGAAGTTCACGTTAAAATGTCTGCAATGAGCAGTTCTGAGGACACAGAGTGGGGACTTTGGAAGGGGGCAGAAACAGCTGGGTGATCTCTATGCTGGCATAAGTGGCTCTCCTGTCAAATGTGAAACTTGGCCCTAGTTCTACAGGTTGTGTATATGTCTGCCCCCCTTTTTTTCTCCTTCTCCTGAAGCTGTGATTTCCTAACCAAGATGAATGCATACTTACAGATGTGCCTAATTACCTTTCTGCTTAGAGCAGTCCTTGGTTTACTTGAGCTAGAAGAAGACTTATATTATGGGAAACATGACATTTGGATTGAAGAAAAGACATTTTACCCAAAGTATTTCTAAATGGTAGAAGTATAGAATTACAATTTTTTTGTTTAGGCAGGAAATGTCTTCTAAGGACTGTGTTTGTAGCAGTACTTGTGTAATTCAGGTACTGGCTCCAGCAACTGTGTACTGCTGTGCCACTCACTTCCCTGTTTATTCACTGGCCTCTTGTAACCAGAGCAGCTGCAATAATTGCTGGTGTGCTGGCATACTGTGGCAAAACAGCAGTCAGTTGTGGCTTGAGAGAAGGCATGTTGAAATGGCTATTCATTTTCATTGCTTCTTTTTTCTCCTTAGGTAATTCTAGAAGCTATGGATATACTCTTCAGAATAAGAGGAGGCTTGGATCTTGCATTTCAGCTAGCAACTACTGATGGTGTGTCTATTAGACTAATAGATTTCTTAATATTTATATAAACTTTTATTAATAAACTAGTTAAGATATTTATTTTGTTTGCATTTCACCAGCTAAGTGCTTCTTCCAAAACCTGTAACAATTAAGTACGCAAAATGTTATTCTTTATCTCCGTAAATTTTCTGACAATCTTTTTCCATCATATGTTTTTTATTTTCAGCTTGAATCCAAAGTTGACCCTGAAATTCTAAGCAGACAGAGAATAATTTAATGACAATGAATTTGGTTATAACAAGATTGTATTAATACAGTTTTGGGACTGTGGTCCAGTCTTCCTAGAGAAATAGAGAAGGGGAATAAGTCAACTAGTCAGCCTACTGAATTTAGGGTGGGATTGGCTATGGCAGTTCGAAGTGATAACAAGGGACTAGTCCATATGGTGTTAAGGGGCTCCTCTAGTCCCACACTGTTACAGTAATGTGACATCCTCTTCAGAAAGTCTGCTCAAAGCTATCAGCAACCTATTAAGCTGTCATAGGGCGGAATGTGGAAGGAGGTTGTCTTTAGTTGAAATGTCACTCAGTCTGCATTTTAAAAGATATGTCTCTGCTAGAGACATTGAATTCCATGTTAGTGACCCTGAAAAGGAATTTGGGCTTATTTGAGGTCATGATGTGCAGCGAAAGTGTGGAATAGATTGGCCTAACACAAAGCAACATTTTGTGAGTTGCATCCTCAAAGAAGGGCTATTTATTTGACTTAGTTTACAATGTAGTGAACTTTAACTGCAGTGAAGCAGAGTGGTATTTGAATTATCCAGATGCATGGTATTCACAGCTCTTAGTGTGTAAATATGACACACCATTCCTTTTGAAGGCAGTAGGTTTTTCTTTTGGAGCAGTTTTTCTTTGACTTTTCTAATACTGTAGTTTTTACATACTTCTAGTGCAAAAGTTATCTAATACTTACCAAATTGAAGTTAAAGGATTAAAGATATACAGTATAGTTTTTGGTGACTTGTTAGGCTTTTTTAACTTTTTGTATTCTAAGCAAAGGTCTTTAACCTCATCAGTGAAGAAAAAAATGTGGGTAATGTGCAAAAGTTGCTCTACCATGTGCAGTATTGGTTCAGGTTGTAAGGTGTGGATAAAACTTAAATAGTCAAGTCAAGCTCTGAAAGACAACTGTCTATACCAGTAATAAAGTTTAAGGCAGACCAGAGTTACAGTTGCAGGTTTATTTTGGCTAGAACTAGGTCTTCAGTTGGAATGTAGCCTCTGCTTTTCCAAACATTTAGTCTGTTTGTATTTCTGAACAATGATATGAAGTCAGAAACGTGATTCAGGTTGAATCTTTCTGGGATTTAGTTAAAAGTTTGTCTGTACATAGAAGTTTGTTTGCAACTGTAGGCTTGGTTAAGAATTATAGATGTGAGAATTGACTGCAGAATAGGTTATTCTTCTGTAATTCATTCAGCTCTTCATATTTGACATCTGAGAGAAAAGAGAACTTTTGTTCAGGGAGGTATGAGTATGAATGTTTGAGGCAGACCTGCTAAGTGAAATCTTACATCAGTTTTTGTTTACCTAGTCATTTTTCTCATCCTAACAGCATTTAGGTTTTTATTCCAAGTTAAAACTTTTTTTTATTGTATGCCCAGCAGCTATAAAAAAAAGAACGAGGGAATTTTCTAGTCTAATTGTATCCTTATTGTGTTTCAGAGGCATCAACCAAAAAGGCATTAGGATATGTTTTCAGTGATCTTGCAAACAAATTGTCCTCAGAGGTTCTTGTATTAAGAATTTGCCACAGTTCAGTGTATGTGTGGCCTAACAATGGTATGACCACAGTTCCAGATCTGACTGATGAGTCTGCGTGTAAGGAGATAACACGATTTATCCAGTGAGTATATTTAAAAATTGGGGGGAATAGCAGATTAATTTCATATTATAGTAATTTCTCTTTCTGTTGATACTTCAGATTTGATCAAGATGATGAGACCAAACGAAAGCTTGGCAAAAAGAAGGATAAGAAGTTACAAGATACGGTATGTCTCTCACCCCAGTAAAAAAATTATGTGAGACAATTTATCATTTAAACGTTTTCAGACTTGCCCTCCCTGGGGCTTTTTTGTACACAAATAGACATTGACATGAGTTAAAAGAATCATTCTAAAGTCATTGAGACTCAATGTGAGTGCAGAGGTTCACCTATGGTAGATCAGCACATAGAAGTTTGATGTTACTAGCTTTATTTTAACCCAGGTATTTCATTACTGAGTTCGATATCAAATATCTACAATATTTCTTTTGCCTTCTTGATGCATGTGTAGTTGCAGATGTCCTATTGGTGTCTTTATTCTCTGCAGCAGCAGATAGTCAATGTAGACCTCATGTTGGAAATGACATCTTCTTTAGCTGCTTTGGCTCCAGTCATTGAAAGGGAAAATAAGGAACACCACTACATAAATATGACATTACCAGTTGATGTTGTTGTATCTGTTTCTCCAGAGGAAACGTGGGGAAGGTAAGTGTTATCCTGAACTTGTAA